CCCTCAAGGGCCACGGGTCAATAGCCCATTCGGCTTCGCCTCATGGGCTATTGACCCGTAGCCCTTGCGGGCTACGGGTCTAATTGTTAGGTATCGTGAATGAGATTAACCGATACATGCCCCTGAGACTCCCAGTTCAAAAGACATAAACATGTTTTGGAACACTAGAGGAGAAACTGTGTTCACCTGTCGCAAACTGTTCCATCATCCTGAATCTGCATCCACAAAACTGCAATGAAAGAAGCATTATAATCAATAAATAATTGTATTCTGACTAAGTGATAATCGAGATCCGGGCAGAATAAATAAAATCGTTAAAGGAAATTGGAGAGGACCATACTGTAATATCAGCAACAGAGGGCCTGCTGTAATTCTTCTTTGCCAGAATTATTTTTAATTAATTAAGTTTCTGGGATATTAGTGGTTGGTATACATGTAATACACTTAGTAAGATGTCTGGCCAGGGCTGAAAACTGCTGTGACCATTTTGGTCGCCATAGCAAGTGAAAACAAAAATGGCAAATAAAATTGTCATGAAGGTTGCCAATTTGGCAAGCTGTTTGTAGTTAACTCACTCAGCTGCTAATCATTGACTGTGTATCAAAACCTGAAGATTTGTGATGTTCCAGTTTGATTACAGTCACGCAGTGCCATGTTGATTTCATGTCAGCCTGACCAAGTGAAATGTCTCTGGACACCAGGATGGATAGTGTTACAAGCCCAAAATGCAAGGGAAAAATAATTATTGTCACATGCTGTAACTCGTGGCAGCCTGACCATGTCTTATTGACGCAGCATGAACCACAAAACACTTGAAATATCCTCCAGATTCTTGTTAGAACTTCAGTTTAGTTACCTTCCCATTTTCAAACATCATTTAAATTCCTAACAACAGGAACACTTTTTTCAAGCAATACATAATATGTGTAAATTTTTCACTCAGAGGATGTGAGTTTTCAAGAATGCCAATATTTCAAAGTGTACAAGTTAACAAGAAAGTTCAGAGTCCCAAGGAAAACATTTACTTGTAGCAATAAATGTTTACAGTCCCTCATTAAGGAACACACGTTTTAAAATACTGAAAAAGAAAACTGAACCTACCATTTGCCAGTCAGAGATGACATAGACAACTGCCTTTCCAATCTTTAATTGGTTAGCTGTTCCATTGTTAATGAAATCAGTCATCCAGAAACTGCTGGAGAAAGTAAAATAGAATAATCATTTCTTGCTAAGTATTGGCATTAGGACAGCCACTAGATACACTTAAGAAACATCGCATGCAGCTTCATGTCCATGCAAGTGTGTCATTCAGAAATGAGTGAAGCGTTCTACCCTGACGGCTCAGTTTATTCCATTGGGTACTAATATCTTCAGTGTTGACAAATCGAAAGTCATGCCAAAGAGCTATTGGACTCATTCATTTCATTTGATCTGGAAAGAGGTGGGATATTGCTTTTAACTGCTTGAAAAGAGGGTCAGCCACAGGGCTGGGCAATAATAGCTGAACAATTAACTACCTCGAGCTGGATAGTTGAATGCATATCTTTTTGTCTAGTATCTTGTTGCTACAGTGTAAGTGTGCCATAGCTAGAATATTACCATATTCTATATACCATGGCCATATGGTGATTCATTGGTTCAATTCCTTAGTGCAAAACACACTGGAACAACACTCAATCAAGTGGTTTAAAGTAAGCCAATATATAGTCTCGTTTGCAAGTGTTATTTGGGTCATCACACAACACTAATCTCTCTTCTCTCAAGAGAGATGCCTTATGCAGTGACACCAGTTTGTGCAGTGACACCAGTTGAACCACTGCCAAGGAGACTATTGGTATCCAAAGAATGGAATAGTAAAGAAGAAACTGTACTCACCTGATCCAATAAAACACAACTTAAAGGGGCTTTTTTTTCCAATCCTTTGTGAACTGTTCCATCACCTTGAATCATCCACAAACTGTTGAAAGAAGCATTTTTTATAAATCTACTGCATTGTTGCTGGACTGTCATATTGGAAATCCAAGAAAACATAGAAAATGAAATGAAGAAAATTGGGATGGATTGCAGCTGCAGTCAGTAACTGCTGAAATTCTTGTAATCCAAAATTCAGAATATCAACTCTTACATTATCAGAATATACTTAGAATTAATTGCCACCTATTAGACTGCATCACAAGGTATCCATTGGGTAACAAAAATTAAATCTCAGTTCACTGAGATCTCTCATGGCTTTTGGGTTCCAGTTCAAAAACCCCTCCCCCCATTTCCCTTGGAATTGCAAAATGCTATCTGTGTTATAGGTATGGATATTTTCTGGAATCACTCATGTGTTGGTGAAGTCACCTTTGGAAATGAGATTTCAGAGAGCTGCAGAAATCAAGCCTAGCTTACTATTGAATCATAATTTTAAAACAAAACACATAATCATTAACTTGCGATCCTGACTGTATCCAAAAAGATGGTTGATGATACATCTACCCATTATGCAGCAGTAAATGTAAATCCCCACCCGTCCCAATGCAGCCCTGGGACAATGCAGGGATCAATGGGGCTTTTAACACATAATCATGACCTTGATAAGCAGGGCATTTTAAACAATTATTGGATGAGGTTTTCATGATATCTGGAATAATCAAGGTCGAGGTAAGTCGAAGCCGAGGGCTGAGGCTGATAACATTAACCGAATCTAATAATTGTTTTATTATACATTGTTTTTTAAAAAATAACGACAAATGCGATATCGCACCAAACACAGTTAATTTTCGACAAGCCATGTTCTTACTTCGCTGTCCGTGAACTTGACATTGTGCTTGGAAATCATGCATTGCGAATGCATTAACCTACAGATTAATTATTCACTAATCTGCCAGCAGATTAGTGAATAATCTGTAGGTTGCACTGTTTCCCAGAATTAACTGTAGGCTTTTAGCCAATGAGATGACAGATGGTGACTACAATGTATAATAAAAAAGCATTATTAGGAAGATTGACATTGTTGACTGTTTTGGCTGATTTGAACTTGCAGTATTTTTTAACAGTGGGAATTAACATCTATCGTTAATGCTTTAATAAATAAATAACTTTCTATTCCAGCCTGATAGGAACCACTGATGAGCTTGAATATTGCCTGTTACATAACTCAGATAAATTGATTGTGGATAGTTTAGGATGTGCAATGGGACAAATTTTGCAAAATACGACTTATCTATTATTTCAGTTCGCAAGGCATTGTGGTAAAATGTACAGCCGCCATCTTTTTTTGTCCAGTATACATGGGTTACTGACCAAGTGTGAGGACAAGTTGGCTGGATATTGGCCAAGCAAAAACAAGTTCTTTTTTTTTTGCGTGTTTATGGACCGAGACGGAGTCGAGGTCCATAGACATAAACTTTGGCGTTGCCGAAACTTTTAACGCCATTCGTTTGCTAACGTACGAGCTCTTACCTCAAGCTTGCCTTTAAAAACAACATTTTCCACACCAAGCAAAGGGTCTTCTTGTTCCTTCGTAGTTTGTGAATTTCTCAAACAGTCTAATTCTACGTACGTTCAACGCAAACGCTTTCGTAATCCATAACCTCGGCGACTCTTACTTGAAACCGGACGAGATGAAGGTGAGGAGGTGTCATGCGTGTGGCGATTTTTGAATAAATTAATTTTACTCATTGTTTGAAGAAACAAGAAGCTCTAAGAGCTTACTACTGGGCCTTGGTCAATGCTCAAAATCACTTTCTCCGCATTAAAGGCCTGACGCAGCGCAGTGAAATCTTTCGGCTAAAATCGCACTATATATAACTATATATGTCCCGCGCAAACTGAGAAAGATATTAAATTGACAAAATGTACATAAGTCTGATTTTCAAAGATTTTAATCAGAAAGCCTGATAAAAACCTCTCGAGAGTATTCTTTAGATTGTTTCTTTGAAAATGGCAACTGATCTCAAAAATAAGATTTTTTTCTGGTAAACTAATAGGCCAGTTTTGATATAATAATTAAAATTCTGTCTTTCCTTCGAGGCTTGGGGGAATAAAACAAAAAGCAACAACAAAAAAATATTGATTCCTCGAACACGATGCGATTTCTTGTTTTTTTTTTCTCTCCGTTAGCATTTTAATATATCGAAAATGGCCTATTTCTCGAACCTGAGCATATATTCTATAAAATCGCCATAATCTCAACACTTAAAAAAATTATGGCTAGACTAATTAACACTCAGAAACTATTACAGGATTTCGACCGAAAGACTGACTAAGACTGATTCATATTATATTTATATTTAGAAATGCTAAACGACTGCTAGAATTGTTTTGGCTTTAATTTGCTGTGGACAAAAATTCTGAGATTTAACATACTGAGAAATTGCCTGACAGCATTTCGCTCAGACACACCGGCACGATCTCAAAGTGCCCTGCCGTCAGAAATCGTTGCAGAAATTGGACGGAAAAACTTCAGTTTCCTGAGAGTATTTTATGTTTAATTACAAATGCCAATCTCGAGATAAAGATAAACGGCTCTTTAAAGTCTGAACTTTTTCTCAAAATTCTGAATCAGTGTTGACTGGCGGGTATTAGTCTTTTTTGAGACCCTACCCGTGTGTTTGACCATAGGTGCCGAAACCATGCGTTATTATGGAAAATTCTTAGAAAAAAGATTCAAACCAGAACAAAACAAAATATAATCAACAAAACAAAACAAACCAAAACAACAAGAATCGCTATTGGGACCAAATTCTATATGCTGAACAAATATGGCAAACTTCCGAAAGATCTAAAAGAATCATCGAAATTCTGTAACAATTTCTGGTTTCCGGGCATTTATTGTCCATTTGAGATTGTACCCTCGAGTCTGATCTGACCGATAAATGGAGAAACAATTTTTCAGTATAACTAGACGGTTTTTCTCTGGTTTGGAATCTATCTTGACGGGTAGGTAACATGGGTCAGAAACTACAGTGTTTATTACGGGAATATTCCATTAAAATTAATTGTCTTAAAATTCGAACCTATGAACAATGCAGTGGCGGATCTAGGGGAAGGGCCAGGGGGGCCCGCCCCCCTTATTTTGGGTAAAAAGCGAAAAGATCACGAAAGAAGAGAAGCCGGCAGGGCAAGTAAAAAAACCATCCCCCCCCTCCCCGCACGCACACACACACACACACACCTAGCTCGAGATCTGGATACGCCAATGCAATGTATGAATAGCAAAGTTAATTAAGATACTAGACAAAGAATTGCATTGATCAAGTTTGGAGAGATGTAAAAGTGCTAGAAGGAGTCCAGTTGCTTTTAATTCTTCATGCAATAGACCTTTATCGTACTCTCGGTATCTTACACCTAAGACTAATGCGAGAAGGTTTTTTAAATGCAAATAACATTAATTATCATTGGATGCATTTTCTTCTTCCTTTTCATTGGACGAGAGCCCACAACCCGAAACCAAATTTGCTGATCGAATGTTAAAACAATCATTGAAATCGGTTATTACAAAACATCGTGATTTGTCAGTGTCTCGCAGGTCAATTATTTTCCTCAGCCTTCAGCCTCGGCAAGTAATTGATCTGCTTGCCACTGACAACTCACGACATTTTGGTCAACCTCATGTAATAGTTGTTAATTATTCTCAGGTATGAGCCCCACATGAGCTTCCATTGCAAGCTAATTCCAGTCCAATACCGGGAAAACGAATATCACCTATTGCCTTTTCTCCGCCAAGGTGGCGTGATCCTGTAAACCCGCTTTCAACGTGGGGAACACAAGGATCACACCTAAAAAAAGAGTTACATGTTCGATAAGGGCGGAACGAAAGGATGCATTGTGGAATAAAGCATTGGGAAATAAAGGGGAGGCATAAACGAAAGAATCAGGAACCCACTGAAGAACGCATTGATTCGTGGGAACGTATGGTAGAGCGGACACCCCAGCAAGTGCACGAGGGAACAAAAAGGGAACGGATTTTTCTAACAGACGATAAGAGCATTGGTGAACCCATGTGGAAACAAGTAGAGGAACGCAGGGCCGGTTGCGCGTGACGTCAAGGATGGGAGGTCGTGCGCGTTAAATTGAAAAGAGCGGGTGACCGCTTGCGTGGCGTACAAGCGTTAAAGTTATAACTTGATTCTCTTGATTTTTATGAAATATGATAAGTAGACAAATAACCTATTCAAATGAATTTTATTCAACACGCTGTGTAAGTTTTGTTTAACACACTTGGTATTTCTAGCGACATGAAAGTGCATTGCAAGAGTATCACTCTTTTAATGGGAACTACCCTGCGTTCACTAGTCAATGTATAACTGAAAACGTATTATAAATACAAATTTTGTAAACACACAATGTATGTACATGCATGAGTAGTGCATGCATTTACGTAAAACAAAATGAAAATAGTCTCTTTTTTCATGTATATTATAACAAGGAACCACAAAAGTTTCTTGAGTATTCTGGAATGAATAAGCACTTATAAATTTTTGAAAGAGTACAAACATTCATTCATCTCACTCGCTCATACAATTTACTCGTGCTTATTTGTTCCAAATTGCACGAGAACAATCATGTGATTCCATATACTAACACTTTTGGTAAGAACGGATCGATTTTGTCTTTCGTATATACATTATTGTGGCATGTCACGAGGGAAAGAAAAAAAAAATTCTGGCACCGAAACCATACAAGGAAACTTTCGCTGCATAAAATATAGTCTATTATGAAAATTTCTTTAAAATGTAAACTTTTTTAGGTGTTTAAAAACTGAATATAAGCTAGCATTACTTGAAGCTAACATTTCCATAAAAAGGTCTCACCGAGTTGTTCCTACCTCCGTTTAAAGACGAGTCTTGCTGCACACTCTTTTATGTTACACGTTCAATGTCTTGCAAATCAAATTCATTTCCATATGAAAGGTTGTGCACCAGGACTTGTTTTGAAACAAAAGTTCTCAAACTCATTAATAATTCAAAGAAATCGCAATCGTGAAGGAGATTTGGATACCCGGTCTTAAAGCTAGCATAGATTTTGAAGATTTTACTTATCTGTTTACTTCTTAGTTTTTGTTCGATTGAGAACATATATCAAACACTCGACTGAGACAGTGTTTAATCGGCTATCCAAACACCTCGAATTTCGTCAAAAATATTCTGCTTCAAGTCGTATTTTCAACTCTTAGGGTTAGGGTGTTCGGTGTTTGGATATCCCGATGAAACACTGTCTCTCGTGTTTGACATGTTACGTAAAGAGCAACTCGGAAATGGCCTGGTGACGTATGTTTAATTAGCAATTAGCGTTGCTGAGTCGTAAATCTTCTAATTCTATCACTGAAATATCATCGTCATTGAGAGTATTCCTTGAGTGTATAAAGGACGAATTAGTTAACGTAGATCTCCGCTTTTCGCTCATTGCTGGCGCAAACCTGGCGTATTTTAATACCTCTTTCTTGTGCTTTGTCTTCATCTGCTTCAGAGATTTTATCGTGTGTTGAAAGAAATCTTCCACAATTAGTCTCATGTCTTCAATCATTTTGTCCTTGTGTGTCGACAGAGCTGTATGGAATAATAAAACAGCATTTTTGAGTTGAAGTTTTCTCATCATCGTTGTTATCTGGCATTCATACGGTATGAATTCCAATGCCAGATAACAACAATTTTTTAGTAAGACAAGAAATATCCGTTTTCTATTAGGGAAGGGAGTGGTGGTATGAACAAATCATAACCTCCTACGCACATAAATTATTCATATCAATGGATTGAAAAACAATTAGAAATTGTGAATTTGCCAGTTTGGAAACTAACTTCTCAACTCCTTAATAAGTCATCAAGTTTGAACAGAATAAAGGAAATCATAACCGTAACGGTTTTTGGATATCATATCTTCATAAGCATAGCTTTTGATGACTTCCTTTCTCCTCTTACCCCTTGATTGTAGCCCCGAACGAGAAGACATACCAAACAGTCAAGAGACAGGTTTTTTTAGGAGACAGGTTATTAATTTTTTAACTTAAGTGTTTTATAAATTTCATATTTTTAGTTCTATTAATTAGTATTAATCCTTGAGGTCCTTTTCGAAAACCACATGTACGTGAAAAAGTTTCCTCAATAAAGATTATTATTATTATTAGAGTGTTTTACCACATTTCCAAACACTTCGAAGCTTTCCAAAAATGCTCCCGTGTCATCGTATTTCAACGCCAGCCACGGTATTTAGAAATGTGGTAAAACACGGCCTCTAATATTAATAATAATAAATTACCGATAACAAAGAATTGTATGGTACAAATTGAACCTAAGTTTGCAAATGCGCCTCACAAAATGATAGAAAAATATAAAAAAATAAGCATAGGTAAAAATGAGTATAGTGTAATTAATCACTTACTGTTGTCATGTTGGACTTTCTGTCGTTCTCGTATTCTTCTCATGACTTCGTAGAAGAGTCCCAGGACAACACCGATCACTGCGCATGTACTTGTAATGAGGAGTGTATTGTGAAAAAGGTCAGCGTCACTATCAAACAAACCAGTGGAGATGTCCTGGACAATTTCTTCTTCAGACAGCCCCGAACCCTACAGTGTTGATCAGGGAGTGTTATCCAAGCAAAGTCATGCAAAACCAATCCTGATTTCCTATAAATAACTTTTACATGTACAGTACACCCTCAGTTTCACTACCTGATTTACAACTGTAAGTTTATAGTCAAAACATCTGTAAAAAACAAAAAACATTCACATTCTCGAATGTGGACGGACAAAACTACTAATGTGTATGTAATCTTTTTCAAGGCCTGTTCTACCCCAAGGAACCACATCGGCTGCAAAAGTTTAGTTAATAGACTTAGTTGTGTTGAATTCGAATTTAGTACGTTTACCTGATCTAACAAGGTCACTAATGTAGATTTCTTTATTGCCGATTTTGGAAAGTTTTCAATATTTTAAAAAGATAACGAAAACTTCTAAAAACGCATGGTCTTCATTGCGTCTTATCTCGATTTTAATCACCTTTTTGGCAAAAGTTGATCTTTACCATACTGCATGTTCAGTTTCAAAATTATCTGTACGTGGGAACATTCCGGGCTTAACGTGCTTAAAGAACCCTGCTCAAACCGTACCTTTATGGGTTCCACGAGTTCTTCAACCCATTTAAAAATCTCCGCTTGATGGGACCGCATGTAACCATAGAAACAATGTCGAAGACGCATCGAGTCTCCACCAATGACAACTCCATATGCTGTTTGATGGTCAATGACCTGGGCCACTCGTACCGAGGGCTTGGAGAAAAGGTCTTTTTGAGTTCCACCGGCGTTCGCATCTATTAAGATCCCGTCCACTTCTCTGTTTAGAAGGGCCTCTGAGAGTTCCTCTAATGTTTGGTACTGTTTGGCTAAGTGACCAAAGAAATGGCCGATTAAACAACTGCATTATATTGAGACACCTCAGAGCGCATGCATTTCAGAGTTGTAGCAAACAACATTGCAGAGGGGGAACATGGGATGAAGGCAATAGGATATGCCTAGCGATTAAACACGGTGTCCCAACTCAGTGTGACTCGGACTGTAGCAAAGGAGATTATTTTTGACAGGATAATTTTTCTGTCAGTGACAAAGGTATACTTGGAAAAAGAATTCCGAGTTCTCTGGCTAGGAGTCGAACCTAAGNGAATTTTATGTTCTCGTGACAAGAACAATATCTCACGAGTGAGCGAAGCTGACTCGTGAGATATTGTTCTTGCCACTCGAACATAAAATTCATATCTTCTCGCCACCGTGTAATATCCTCTATTTACTTATTAAGCCACTCTTACCTTAGATCCATATATGCTTGTGCCACTGACTGACGTAATTGTCGTCAGTGCTGTCGTAAGCGCCCCCGTCATCACTGCCATGATCACCAGCCCCACTAGTACCCAGCCTACAGCGAAAATGCGACCCAAGTGGCTCATGGGAGTGCGATCACCGTAGCTACAAAGGAGAGGAAAGTTATTTTGTCCAAAATAGTTTTTGGTTATTCCACAAAAACTAAGCTCTCATCATGTGGCCAATGAAAACAAATTTTGAAAAAAGATTTCTCAAAAGTCCACTACGTTCAGGGGCCAGGACTTGTAGACTTCTCAACGTTACATTCGTGGATAAACAGTCTTATTATATGGTTTGCGTTTGAATTGTAGCCGATATAACGCGCGTTCAGATTGGCTAATTCTAAAATATATTATTCTCCCGTAATGCTCATTGGCCCTTTACGGGCCTGCAACAACAAAGCAAAAGGCCATATATCAAAACGCATTAACCTCAAACGTTCAATCTTTACGGGGAAAATCTCAAACCTCGACCTTCCCGTATCGACCTTGCTATCACTTGATCAATATGTTAAGGTCTCGGTTTAATATTTTCCCGTAAAGACCTCGCTCTCAGTTAATAAGTAATCTTTCCTGTCCTGGTAGATACTTATTGAAAGTCTATATCAGACTTAGGTATAATTTCACAGCTGAACAAATTAGTTTTCAGCAGTCTGATTGGTTGAACGATTCCTTACATGACGCTATATTCACCGCGCCAAGCGGACATATAACATTTTCGAGGCCTGGTTATTAGGCTCGCTACTTTGCCATCTCGGCAAGTAAACATGGCGGACAATTGCTGAATGAAGTTTTCATTTATTCGGAAGACATCATTTCAAGTCCAGGATATTTGAAAGGATGGAGAAATTTCAAAATGACTACTGTCGCCGTTGGACCAAAAATCCTTTCAAGAACTCTTAATCAAGGAATTTAAGAATCGCAAACGCAGTGGTTACGTTGATCGCCAGCAGGTCAGATCGATTGACCGAAATTTATTTTTCTTCAAACTAAAGCTACTCATTTTTAGACGACGATGACAACTGTGAATGAAGTCAACAACGATAAAACAAAGGTACGAGATGAATTTATTTTTCGTAGTGTTTCGCTTGTTTGTTTTACTGCCGAACTCGATGAGTAAATTGATTCACTTGCGATGTACATGTAAGCTTATTATTAAAACTACGGCTGTATCCGTTAATGCAAACGAACAATGCAATTGCGTCTGTGTTTTTATGTTTTATTCCGTTATTCTGTAGTCCTTTTTGTTTAGCTCTGAAAATTATACTAAGACAATTATTCGCCTCGGGCTCAGTAAACATTGGTGAATATTCACCAACGTTCACTTCGAGAGCTCACCCGACGGTTGTTATGGAAACGAAAGACCACCAGACTCCTTCCCATGCTCCATGGATAAACGACGTCGGAAAATGTTGGCTATTTGAGTTGGCGTCCTGAGAACAAATTACAGAGAAAAGAGAGTCGTTTAATTTTTTCACTTGCTTCAAAAGCTGGATAAACTTGGCAACCCTAGGCAAGAGAGGAAACAGGAAAAGAAAAATACATAATTCTCACCAGTAGCCATACTAGTACACCCGCTATGTAAGCCATCACGAAAGGTATCACCACAACAGGCCAGCACGCAATGAGGGCATCAAACATGGCGTCCTTTACACCGGAAGTGTCAGTGTACACCACAAACGCGATGCCTGCGGACTCGACAAACGGTGCATAACCCAGCCCTCCCTTGTAACTATCCTGCAACTTGTACCCGATGACTGGAAACGAGAAATCCGTCTGATCATCAATGTTTTGCAAGAGCTCCTGGGAGCTGTTTTGTTGAGCTATTCCGTTATTTCCATTCCGTGTGAAGTCTAGTTTTGATTTTCCGTGATCGAGGCACTCTCCACAGCATTCATTGATTACTCCGGTTAGCAATTTAGGTATGATAATTCCAGGAGTACTCAGGGAAGTCACATTGACGTAAGGTGGGTAGTTCCTCCAGTTCGTCGTTAAGTTCGGCCGACAACGACAAGTTTCTGTAAACAGAAAAGAAGAAGTTCATATGAGGGTGTCAATGGGGTGATGGCTTTTACGGCTACCGGTTAACATTTCGATTTTTTACGCTTAACAATTAATTTAGTTTCCTAAGGGTTAAGAAAAAAACTTAAATTTCCATTGTTTAAGAAATTAAAAATAAGTTTTCATCGTTTAAAAAAGTTAAAAGTTTATTGAATTACTGTAAGAACATATTCAAGGTCTTTGAACTATTCTGGAATGGAAAAGGTGGACTTTTTCTGTACTACAAAACAACAAGACAAGACAGAAAAATGTTTTGATCTAGATAAGAGGTTTATATTTTTTACCGCTTCCGGTTAAATATTTCCAATTTTTACGCCTAACGCTAAATATTTGGCCCGTCTCATCCCCAACAGTTAACCCCATTGGCACCCTCTCATATCTTTAGGAGACGCGGTGGCCTCATGGTTGGTGCGCTCATCTCCGGATAGAGCGGTCTGGGTTTGAGCTCTTGCCGGAGACACTGCGTTGTGTTCTTGGGCAAGACACTTTACTCACATAGTGCCTCTCTCCACCCAGGTGTATAAATGGGTACCAGCGAACTTAATGCTGGGGATAACCCTGCGATGGCCTAGCATCCCATCCTGAGGGGAGTAGAAATACTCCTAGTCGCCTCATGCTACAGAAACCGGGATAACCTCCGGCCTGATGGGCCACTTGGTTCGTGTGCAGACTTTACCATATCTTTAGGAACGTTACACCAAATTTTGGTCACAGCTAGGACCTTTCCATAATTTTTCAAGTTCGACTGACCTCCAAAGGTAACTCCTGCCGGTCCAGGCCCCTTGTTTGATATGGCAGCCACGGTTATCCTATAGACCACAAGCGGCTTAAGGTTGCGTAAAGTCATGGACGTAACCGCGTTTCCAACATCTTTACTTATCACGGACTCAAAATCCACTGGCAAGTCGCCAATTGTTACAGCTTGGTACGTCACTCGGTAGCCTACAAGGCGACCGTGTGTGTATTCTTGAGGGAATGGCGCCCAGAAAATGGGTATGCTGGTTAAACTGGTCCGGTTCTGAGCAGTGATATTTGACGGCGGCCGACTGGGTACTTAGAAAAAACAGAGGAGAAAAATGTCTGTCAGAAACCTTAGTTATCATTTTTTCAGCTAATACACAAGCTTTGCAATCGGCCTTTTTACCGATAGGGAGGCCATTTTGAATTCCATCGTTTTAAATAGTTACTATGGGATGCTTAGGGGGCAAATACATACTAATTTGTAAAATGGTCAATTGCTACCTGCAATCAGTATCAGGTCACTCCTTCTCTATTGTTTCGCTTTTTTTTCGATCTGGCATAAATTTTGTAACTAAACACAGCATGGCATTTGCTAGTTCACCATATGATGGACCAATGGGCTATGTATATATTATTTGCCGGCCGGGAGGTCCGTATGGGAACAACTGTGCCCAAGGCTTCAATACCCCCCCCCCCCCCGAGGCCGCAGACCGGATGCCGTACTCTAGACCGAGGGTACAGTTTTTCACCATACGGACCGTATAAGGCCGGCAAATAACGTGTTAATTTTTTTTTTCTCTGCCTTGTTGCTTCGGAAGGAATTATTGTAATGAATTTTAGTAACAGCCGTGACATTTTGCAGGGCACAAAAAGCGATACTGTTTGCTCGGAATCCAAAATTGTTTGACTCTTTGTTGAATGTTTACATTTTGCGTTGTTTTACGTAAAAGCTTGAAAAGTTGTCAAATTTTGAAATTGAGGAGCGGTCCGTAATCGGGGTCCGCATGGGAAAATCTGGACCGCTGGAGCAAGTGCGATTAGCCAATCAGATTTAAGGATGTAGGATTCCGGACCGCTGAGAAGCAAAATAAGTAACAATACTGCATCATAGGTCCACGCAAATTGACATCATAATTTATGACGGAAAACACAGTCTGCACGGGCTGCTAACAGGGGCACATCACACGCGCAACAATGTTGTAGTGTAAAAGCGTTATCACTTGTTTTACAACCCGTGTTGCATGTTGGGGCAACATGTTACACAAGTAAAACTCCTGTCTACCTCGCGCAACATGTTGCACGAAGCTGCAATATCATAGGTAATCGGCGCAATAACGCTCTTCTATAGCTAGTTGCACGTTTTACTTCGGTTAGCCAATGTCGCTTACCATCTTCACCCGTCCATGTGGTATACCAAGCAGGCACCCCATCGCCAGCATCATTGAAGGCCCACACTTCAATCGTGTATTCAGTTGCTTTCTGTAGCTGCGTCAGAACCTTTGAGTAAGTTCTCGTTGTCATTACCGTACCGGTACCGTTGCTCGCGCTCGTATACGCCAGGCGGTAGCCACGGATGATGCCGTTTCGGTACTCTGGGGGCACGTCCAGCCAGTAGACCAGCAGGCTTTGCGAATCACGGGCAGAAACACCGAAACGGGAGGGAGGAGCTGACGGAGCTAAAATGGGATTTAAGATGGCACTTCGATAAGTACAAAAAGTAAACACAGACAGACAGACAGACAGACAGACAAACAGGCTAACAGTCAAACTGACAGACAGACAGACAGAAAGACAGAACGGTGCACAGCTAGACAGACAGAAAAGACACAGAGACACAAAGGGAGACAGCAGACAGACAGACAGACAGCCAGCCAGACAGAAAGACAGAAAGACAGAAAGACAGAAAAGCAAGGTAAGTCATAAATGAGAAAAAGTGAGCGTGTCAAGTGATGAAGGTGTCAGTCGCTTGGCACCCTGCTGCGACTCTTTTGTTAAAAAGTCCACCTGATTTTTCCGGTTTTACTTTTCAACTTCTTTAGCAACATCAACAACATCAACAACAACAGCAGTTATGAAAAACACATTGGACGACTTAAGGAATGTTTCAATGCGTCCTACGACTTTATAATAAAAGAAAAGAAGTACGTCTTCAGTTATACTGTAAATGCAAAGGGGATCACATGAGTTTAAAAACCAAGCGAAAAATGTCAAACGTTATAGATAGATAATTTCTTTACTGACTTATACACATTGTTTTTCCCCTCAGATACAAATAATATAAAAGTAAAAGAATTTAGACTGTAAGTAGTTACAATTTAAGTAACATAAATCGAACAAGTCAGGCATCAAAGCTTGCGACTGTCTACTGCTATTGTTGTACTGTAATAACTCTCCTCTTACCTGCCTGCCAAGTTTGCGCGTACACTGGCATGGTGTAGTTGCCGTCCTCTGTACTATAAGCCGCTATTTGTACACCGTACCGAGTGAATGGCCTTAGACCTGTAATAGTCACTTCAATGTCGTTCCTGTCTACCATAACGTCCCGTAACTGACGAGGACTGGAAACAGGAAAGTACACAACTCGATAACCAAAAAAACTCCGCGCATCCACTACAGAGATTGCGCTCCAAGTTACGTGTATGGTGTAAGCGCCTGTGACACGAGCTGTTGCATTCATGGGGGTTTTCTCGGGTGCTGTGGAGAGTCAATCAATCAATCAATCAATCAATCAATCAATCAATCAATCAATCAATCAATATATAAATGATGAATGATAAAGAACATTTAACTTTCAAGGGACAAAAAACTGCTATACGAAGTCGTTTTCGCAGCTCAATTATTTGTATTATCGAGTCTCTGAGGACCTGTTTTATTTAACTGATTTGAATTCTTCACAAAAGGTTGTACACCGCAGGCTTAAGAGTCCAACACTGCCGAAGCATATCCCGGTTTCCGTAGCATAAAGCGGCCAGGAGTACTGTTATTCCTACAATCACAGGCTAGCTCTTAGAGACCGTGAAGAGATAACTTTCTTGTCCGAAAATATATCACGCCATAGTGCGCGCAATCCTCGAAGGGAAAAAAAGATGGCGGCTGCACATTTTACCACAATACCATGCGAACCTTACACAGCCCATAAAGTGCATTGAAAGCCCTATTGTTGAAATATTTGTCCCTGTGCAAACGAGAAAGGGTATGCTAGGTTTGAAGATGTTAGAACTTCACATTTTTGTGAGCATTGATAAAGTTTTCGTGTGCTAAGAAGTATGTACAAATGTACCTCTTTTTTTTCGTACGGAGGATTACCCAGTCAGACAGCTCGACCCAGAATTCAACCACTAACCATTAGGCTACCGAAGCACCCACAATATTGATCAAAACACAATGAATATTTCACAAATAATTGTAATATCATTACTTTCCGCGTCGCATTCCAGTGACTTACATGGTGCACCAGTAGAAACCCGAACCAATGGACTCCACGGGCCAAACCCCTTACGGGTAAAAGCTCGTACTTGAACACTGTAGTTAGCATAAACGTTCAGTCCATCGAAATACGCAGAAAGGCTTGAACCATATACAGTTTTTTCATCTAAAAGCACTCCATTATCATCACAAATTTTTGCTTCATGCCCCTGGATGATTCCTTTCCGAAGTTCTCTCTTTATCGGAAGCCAATATAGTGTAATGCTGCTGGTGCTGGAAGAACTTCCGGTCAAGTTGTTTGGAGGACCCAAGGGAACTGAGGAAGATAAAGATACGCTCAACAAAAAGAACTGACAAAAAATTACGAATTTCCACTGGTCAGACAGATTAATCAATCGATCGATCAACACACCGGTAATGTAAGGCTTGTCAGGAAGTCTGTCTGACTGACTGACTGTCTGTCTGTCTGTCTGTCTGTGTGCTTGTCTGTCTGTCTGTCTGTTTGTCAGTCAGCCAGTCAGCCAGTCAGTCGATCGGTCGGTCAGTCAGTCAGTCAGTCAGTCAGACAGACAGACAGACAGATCAGACAGACAGGCAGTGAGTCAGTCCGTTAGTCGGTCAGTTATCCAGACACTCAGTCCAGCTTTCAGACAAGTCGCACATGTAGTGCACCTTACTTCAGCTATGATTATGATACGACTCTCTATTCCTATTTGTAAGAGTCCTCACCTCCTTCATCCGTCCAGCTCTGTGTTTCACTAAAGTTGCCAATTCCCATTCGCGTATACCCAGCTACAGAAATTTTGTACAGTGTGTAAGTCTCCAAATTTGTTATATTTCTACTAGTGCTCAAGTGGTGCTCTATCTCTCTGAAGTTTGACGAATTCGTGTCATCGGCCTTAATAATGCGCAGTACATAACCCAATAGTATCCCAGGCACACTGGACGATGTTATATTCTGCCACGTGACTAGGATGCTTGAGTTACTGGTATTGAACGCGGTTACTTGCAGAGGAGGAGCTCTGGGGACTAGAAAAGTACAAAGATAAGTGGAAACTGCAAAAAGCATTGCGCAAATAACTACAGTTCATAATAACGCAGACATTTGTGTTTGTTTTGTGCAGCAGTTTTAGGGGAGGTCACCTGTCTCGCTGTCGATAAGACAGCCTCTCCGTCTTTTAGCTCCTATTTCTTGTAAGTTCTGTTTGCCTGTTATTGCTGTTTCGCTTTTCATTAGTATAAACCAGAGGCGCGGCCCAAGCTCAAGATGTGAGCGATGACCATCTTGCGTAGATCATCTTGCGTAATAGCAGCCATGGTGAAATTGTAAGACTTTGTATGGAAATATTTACTATCGGTTTTTGGAGGTAGAAATAGTAGAAATATGTGCATAAAATGCCTTATCTTACTTCCACAGTGCATTGCTTATTGTCTGTTTGCTTTTTCTGGTAATTGTGTCCAGGCTGGTCGTTGTAGATTCACCTGTTAAATTTTTCTAAGATTTCTTTTTATGCTTTACGCGTGAACATTACCTCCTTCATCGGTAGAGACATTAACAGCGGCGCTAAAGGGACCTCGCGTGACGGTGAAGAAGGCTGTCTGCACAGAATACATGGTGTATTCCTCTAATCCTGTCAGTGTCTTTTGGACGACACTGTTATTCGAAGCTGCTCGCCGTCTTCTCGAGCGGTGTAACGTAAAGGTATAATTCCAAACAAGAGAATTCAACAAATTGGCTTTAAAAATCCTAAAGATGTATTTGCGCAAGATTCCATTCAGCTGCTCTGGCGAGTAGGCCTGGAACTCGACCGTAATTGCTGTGGAGCTTGCGTTGTATGCGGTCACGTTTGCAGGCGGGAGGTCTGGTGCTGAGTATTAAAGAACACGAAGATATGACTCTAATTTTATTATTTCAAGGTAAAGTAACTGCCATAGCGAATTTGGAAAGGCTGACGTGTTGAGCGTTAGTCCTTCGTCCGGTGGATTTTAGATATTGGCCGTTTTAGTTGTCTTCGGGTGGTACGATACGTAATAGTAGTTGGACCTCGTGTCGTACAATTTCTCTAGTAATTTCAAAATCGGACAAGCGCGAAGCGCGAGGCCGATTTGAAATTACGAGCACGATTACTCCCTGAATTGTACGACACGAGGTCCAATTACTAATTAATCGTATCTATAACAAGTTTCGGAGTTAAAAATGTCTTTTGAGAATTCTTTTGAGCCAAAACGTCTGTAGCGCTTTTCATAAGTTTTGAAAACTGTAGGAAACATTGCGAAGGGAGCCATTAAAGCACGCGTAATTGACCTTCGAATCACGTGGGTATCCAATCACAGGTATCTAATTACAAACTGTTCAAATTGGATACCTGTAATTGGACACCCACGTGATCGCGCGCCGATTAAGTGACAAGTAGGCGCGCGGAGAACCAATCTTGATCGAGAATTTTGTTATAGTTACGATTAAGGCCATTAGAGTAGATATAAGATTCTGGAGTGCGTGGATCGAATATTCAAAGCCAGCCTAATCTCCAACCTTTGTTGCAGTTACAGACTAAAGCACTCTCTTTAACAGGCCATTCCCAAGTTGCCTTTTGCCTCCGTGTCAAAACGAGTTTTTGAGCGAAACCATTCATATGGAAATATGTTTCTTCTACAGGTTCATTTTCATGCAAATCAAACTCATTTTCATATGAAAGGTTTTGCACGAAGACTCGGTTTGAAACAGAGGCACAAGGTAACTCGGAAATGGCCTATTGAGGGTAACACAGTAAACAACAACTGAGGCGTCGAAACTCTTTGCAACATATTTTGGGTGTCTATGATTCCTCACTTTGTAAAAAAAGTTTAACACTTGACGATGCTTTTCCAAGAGCCAACGTTACTCTTCGCGCGTTAAAACAGTGGCTTTCATATTTCGCAGCACGCCTTTGTTTACTTTGTACTTCATCCGCACGCTTTCCGTGCGTGCGTACGCATACAGTTTTGTGCATGGCGTGGCTCAATCATTCCACCTACTGAAGAAGGGCTAAGCCCGAAACGGTTAGATTGCCAGCGAATACTTGACACTTTTAAGAGCCTTTTAAGCCTTTTATCTAATTGCTCTTCTTTTGCTAGTTTTGGCCTAATTACTTGCTTCGATCTTCGTACATACAATTGCAAGGATCCTAGCACTCTACTATGACATAGTAACCACATGAAAACATAAATTACGGCTGAAATGATCCATTTCTATCACTCACCATCTTCGCCGGTGCGACACGTGACTGTACTCGTAAAATTTGATTGGCCCTTGCTGTTAGCAGCGGCTCCTGCGATATTATACTCTCGATATTTTGACAAATTTGTAACTTCGCCGTGTAAATTTGGTCCGTTGAATTCTGCTGTTGTAACCACGCCTGTTAACACATCGGTTAAGGTGAATATGTACTTGGTAATTATTCCCAGACGCAACGGCTCAGGGACTGGACTCCAACTGATATTAATACTTGTGGAGCTTGTGTAGTTGGCCGAGTCGATCAAAGGCCCAGCAAGTGGAGCTAAAACAAGAACACGTAACAATAAATAGTCATTGGCATGCGGTCGTATGTCGTGGGGAACAAGTGAACGAGCGAACAAGGGAAAGAGCGAACGAGGAAGAGAGCGACCAAGCGAACGAGCGAACGAGGGAGAGAGCGAACGAGCGAACAAGCGACCGAGCAAACGAGCGAACAAGCAAACGAACGAATGAGCGAACGATCGAACGAGCGAACGAGCGAACGAGCGAACTAGCGAGCGAACGAGCTACCGAGCGAACGAGCGAGTTACTGATAAAAAGAAACAGTTTAGTCACTGTCCCCAGATAGAAAACTAGCTCTAAGTATATGACAAAAAAACAGAAAAACAAACGTATCAGAAGCAAACGAAGGAACGACTAAACAAAAAACAAAATAAATCGACCAACTTTCCACTCACTGTCTTCGTCCGTGAAAGAAGTTACGACCTCGCTGAAATTCCCAGGCCCAAGTATGTTGAAGGCAGACACCATAATTTCATACTCGGTAAATTTCTGCAGGCTTTTTAAAGTAACATTTGAAGTGCTGTTACAGGCAATCTGGGTGTCCCACTGCGCCGAAGCATTGAGACGAGGTTTAAAAAACACTTCGTAACCACTCAGTTTGACGCCTACTGGAATGGCAGGCGGTTGCCATTGTACCGTGATGCTTGTCGAGCTGGTATTGTGGGCTGTAACATTTGTTGGCGGAAGGCGGATTGCTGAACAAAAAAAAAAAGCAAGTATAAGTGCGAAGCATTCGCCTCAGTTACCTCGCAGGCAAAAAATAATATGCTCAAGTAATCATTACTAGAAATTTGAAGGTTAAAAAGGAAAAAAAAAAACACTTGGGAAAAGTAAAAGTCTTCTGGGAGTCTTCCCTTATGATTGCCATGTAACTCTGTCGAATTTTAACGCCGAGAACTTCGTTGTATAGTAACGCCAATATCTTCCAGACGATAATTTGCCGATATATTTTCGTAATGAGAAATCAGTCATAGCGGATTCCCAAATCCTGGATGTTTTATCGTCTTTTTTAAAAATAAAGCTAGGCTGTTACATAACACTCAAAGAGCGTTTATACAGTGGAGTCGACCATTCTTAACTATAATATCAAATGATACAATAAACGAACAGCGAATCTCAATATCTAAAAGCCCCCTCTCAATTAGTGTGCATTGAGACCATTTCATGTGATTGAGAGCCTGGGGCGGAGAGAGGGATCGCGAGGTCTATTGAGCACTACACTTGGCCAGAGAGTACAGACGACCTTCATAAGGACAGTAAGGAAAATCGACAGATTAATATTAGCATGCACTCTCTTGAGCTTCCATTTTCGGGTACAACTAAATCGGTCACCAGTACCTGCTCGGCGAGCAATGCGTTTTGATTGAGGAAGACCCTTTAACCAAAACTTAACAACTTACGTCCTTTGAGCGTGGTAAAAAGTTGCACGGAGCTTCCATTTCCTACGTTTGATTCCAGAAATTCGCGTTTCATGTAATACTTGTACGTAGATGATGGCTGCAGACCGCATATCTCTACTTCATGTATGGAGGCGGGAGAAGTCTGCTTGTACATGGAGAATGACGATTGGTAAACGAAGTCATAGAGGACTACATATCCAACGAAGAGGCCATACCTCTCAGGTGGGACATCATTCCAGTGGATTCTAACGCACGAATACGTTACGCTTATGACTGATATGTTTTCGGGGGCTGCAACTGCAAGGTTAAGAAAAGGACAAACGTAAATTTAGCCAAGAGCTTTAATTTAGAACCAGCTGTTTGTTTACAAGCGTTAACGAGGAGTTGAACTCGAGTGTAAAGGAAGACTCGAGACAAGCGGAGGCCTCCGGATTTCAAATCTGGCCCCACCAAGATGACGAGATAAAGTGAATTGTTGAAGAGTAAATAATAACTGATTTTAATGATTTTTGAGTTATTTTTTTGTAAAAAAAAACCTCTTAGTCGACGCGTCGGGTATGTTATGGACGGGTCAATGGATGAGTGAGTGAGTGAGAGATGTATGTATGTCACACCAATCAGCTTGGATCTACTATAAACAGCCAATCAAATTTGTTGTAAAGGTAAATGGTATGTGAGAAGATTTGATCCCGATAGAGTTCAGAACGGCCATATTTATTCTTCTATAAAAGAGGAGGAAGTATTCATATACTAGATTTANTGGGCTATGCGTTCTTCAAGTAACACCTGTTTCCAGATGGCAATATGGAAATAAGTTGCTTTAGCGAACACGCCGTCCCCAGCACTCAGTAAAACAGAAGAAGATAAAAACTCAGGAGTCCCTCCCTTGTTGCAACCTTCATCTCTGATAAATCTGTCGATCCTTTGACCGTTCCTGAAAACCGTCAATGTTTGTGGCGCACGTGCTTTGTAAGTAAAAGTCAGGTGTGACCAGATTTTCTCCGGCATTGCTATTTCCTTCAGACAATATTTAGTGGCGCGTTGCACGCGGACAATCAACGACTTGCTGTTTGCTTCCTGGTACACCACAAACTTGCCAAGAGATTTGAAAAACGTTTGTCGTTGTCCATCTTCACGATTCTCAGGCTTCATGAATAGTGATACGGTAAAACCAGTGTCTTCACAGGAAAATACGGCGGACTTCGTAGCGCACGTGTCTCCCTCGTGATTCAGGTGAATCTCGCCGTCGACGCCATCTGTCATCATACCAAAAACTTCAGACACACTTCCGTTCGCTCGACCCCAGCCAGGGGTGGAAAGATCTTTAATTTCTTCCACTGAATCCAGAGGCCAGAAATGCGAACTGTCTTTGTATAATTGGACTGAAATAAAGCAAGATAAATGCATGACACTCCTTGTGTTGTTGAGTATATTTACTAAATGCTGTCAAACTTAGACCTGCACTTGGCCTTGCAAAATTGGGCGAGTCCACAAGCTTGAAGTATTTAGCGATGAGGTAAAAATCGAAAAAACCTGACACACTTTTGTTGACTGATGCAATATTAATAAGACTGTACAGCCGGTTGGCTCGTGTTGCGACCGTCGATAACCGATAAATTTAATAAAAGAACCTTCGGCCTTTTCACGATTTACCTGCTCCAGACACTTATTTAAAGAAAAATGTCGTCTAAATTACATTTTACTCGTAGACCATATTTATTAAGCTTTTTACCCATATATAGTTTGTTGGAGTTTTGTTGAAACTAGAACAGTTACAAAACGTTTTAGTAAGGACACTCACGAAAGTGGAAAGCGACCTTAAATCGGTTGGTCCCAACACAACACGAACTAAGCTACTAAGATAAAAACAACAAGCAATAACTCACAGATTTGACACAGAGCAGGATTTTCGTCCTCTGTGTTACATCGGCAACCGCCATTTATTTCGTCGCAGTGGTGATTGAATGGGCACTGCTGAGGGCACAGGGACCCTACGGAAATCAATGAGAACAGGAATGGTAACATACAAAAGCAAAACATTCGATACAACAGACCTCCCACAGCACGGTGTACATTCTTGTCTCCTTAGAGGACCCAGTCCTCTTAGTCAGTACACCTCTAGCTGGTTCCAATTTTAAGTCAATTTGAAATCGGTAAACAGCTGGAGGGTTCGTGGAGTCAGGAATTTCCAGTTGTTCAGCGTTAACTCAGAGTTCATTCTACGCAAATCTACTCAGAACCGGATTGTTCCCGGACTTTCGTGCTGACAAAAAGTTGCGTGGCCACTCGGGACAAGAATGTACGGTGTAAACTAGACTTTAATCGTGTTGGACATGAATGTGTGACGTCCAGAACCATTCTGTCCTTGCGCTCCAATGTAGCGGAGTAAACATAAGCATTATTTTTGGCCTTTTTTTTCTCGCAGCTCTACCTGAGCAGAGAGAGGCATCTGGGATCCGAGCTGAAAATTTCCCTACTGAAAACTGCAATATTTAGAGAGGACGCCACATCATACGTAGCTAAGTTTCATGCGGGTCTTCTATCCAGGTCGAATTGGAACTTTGTTCTTTTTGTGTTGGGGTGGAGGGTGGGGGAATCGAAGAACCCGGAGAAAAACCCTCTGGAAAAGGCGAAAACCAGCAACAAACTCAACCCAGTTATGGAACGGGCCCGGAATCAAGCCACATTAGCCACATTGGTGGGAGCCGAGCGCTCTCACCACTGCGTTGTCCCCCAATACAACGTCACTGATCGGCTAAACTAGGCAAAGCACCCAAGAAGAATTTCATCTATGTGGATAAAGCTATAGAAAATGCTCTCGCTCTTTACTTAGAAGTCAGTGAAGAAGCGTACCTCCGTGACCCTTGTACAGAACTTCAACATCACTAGGCTCGAAGGTCGACGCTCCAGCCAGAACGGTGTCCAGGTTGGATTCCGCATTACCTCCACCTCCTTCATAAGAGACGACATGATGACTAAACCCAGTCTTCATGTTGTCACTGACGCCAATCTGAAAATCAAATGGAGCTTGGCCAAACGTTGGTCCAGTGGATGGTGAACTGTAAATTGCAGTAGCAGCAGATTGTCCACTTATTTTCTTTTTAAAAAGGGATCCTTCCGACGTGTAGTTTAATGAAAAAATGAATGCCTTAGTGTCCGATCTGTAGTATGTGGAACAGCCTGCGAACCAAAAGTAACGCCTGTTATTTTTTCATTCTAAACATACTTCAGATACATGGTCAAACATATTGAGCCAAGTTGGTTATAAAATATGGTGGCAAAGCAATGTTGCCGGCGTTTATCCCGGTTTCTGTACCCGCCTGGAAGGTGTGCTAGTCCATCGCATGGTTACCCCCTACCACTGATAAGCCAGTACCCATTTATACACCTCAGTAAAAAGAGGTATTGTGCGAGTTAAGTACAGCACAATGATCCCGACCAGGACTCCGAAGTCCAGCTAACCATTGTGCCTTCGTGTTTCCCATCAATTTGTTTAAAACGGGTGAGCAAAATTCAGCTCAGCCGTGTATAAACCAACGGTAAATTTAACTTATCAGATAACCTGAATAGCACATTTCAATTGATTTATATAATTATGAATGTCTGTAAATTATCTTCGACTCAAAACTTCAAGCACGCGCCAACAACGTAGCTACAAAATAGAGGGACGTGGAGTGTCACGTTATGTCGCCAAATGTAGCCTATGCTGCTGTCAAACAAGAAACCTTTTCTAAAGTAAATGCGGCCTTGACCTCAATAATACATACATGATGACGGCTCTATGATCTTCAATTGTCCGTAACCGGCACTGCTTTTCAGGGTACTCCATGAGAACAAATTCCCTGGGTCATCCCTACAGCCTCGTCCTAACATGGCCAGCTTTGACGTTTCCAGGGTGTGGTCCCACATGTTAAAGAGAGTTATTCGCCCAAGGAAGGATTTTGAAGAATCCGCCGATAACGAAAGAGGTAATTGGCCAATCTTTAGAGTTGCTCCTGGTAGAACTGGTTGAATACTGTCTGTCGTCCAAGACGGGTGCGGTTTCCACCCTTGACTCACACCATCTATGTAAACGATCCACGATTTATCTCCGCCTGACCAGACAGCCACGATTTGGTGCCAAAACCCATCGTTGAGTTTAGAAGACGGACTGTCAATGTAGCTAGGCAAATAAGCGAAAGTTGTCTTAGATTTGCATGAAGACACTCTTTCTTTACGCAAAAGTGTAAACAATGGAACTTTTACCGATGCCACGTAGTATCAATAATTTTTCGTATTTTTCATATATAAAAAAAATCAGCTCCGTGGATCAATTTATCATGTTGAATTTGGTGATTTGCGACGTTTTATAGAAAACTAATGAAAATATGGACCCCAAACGTGCCAATTTTTACACGGAAATGTACGCCAGGGAGCAAGCTGGCCTCCTGGCATACATACAAAGAACGGCGCCCAAAGTGGGCTAGCGGGTCGAGTTTACTAAGCTACCCACGTCGTTTGCAAACTAGTTCGCGCGCCAAAGCGAAAAAACATAAAACAGCGCTTGATTGGGAAACCCAAAAAATAGAACCTGCTCACAGTCAAGATCTTTGATCAGTGAAAACACAGGCGGTGCAAGTTCTAGCTGTGAGATGATCATCTTGTGTAGTAGCGGTAATGGCGAAATCTCAGATGTTTGTTTGTGTTGTATACCTATTGTTTTGTTTGGCCAATCATGAAGACCCTTGTAAACGTTGCGGGTCGGCCCCGAAATCGTAGAGTTTGTATGGGAATATTTACTTCACTGTTAGGAAGTGTCAGGTTCTCAACCTTCTATAGGTTGATGGAAGTTCCGTGTACCAAAACTAATTGTTTAGACCACCTCGCACCTTTCAGTACTAACTCTTATCATTTGAGTTTTAGTTACCTACAGTCCGCTGCAGTTTGGTTATCATCCACAACAAAACAGATGCCTGGGGCTCCAGAATTGCTAATTTCAAACTCCACCACTATGTCCCCGTTAAGGAATGAAAACGCTACTTGAGAGTTTTGAAGCGACGACATCACCCAAAACGAGACTGTAAAATTGTTTATGGATGACTCAGGCAAAACGGTGGATTGAGCATAGTCATCTCTGTGTTGGCGCCAGAAATGCAGATCATAGCTTGGATTAATACTCTTCTGACCTAAAATTAAGGAACCAGTTCAGTAAAGATCCAGATATGACTGGTAAAATAGAAATGTGCCTCTACTGACATTAGACCTTAACAGCTTATTTAATGAACTAAACGCTAAAAAGAGTAATTTTTATACCTTTATCTAAAACATAACTAGAAGTAATTTAGTGCTGCAATTTCCCTGTCATATGTCATAACCAAGATGGCAGCTGTTAGAAAATGATTTCGTAATTCGGAGGACGTCACGTGATATTACTATCTCATGTTGCGATACACTATGTAAAATCAAAGTTTAATTTGAATGTTCCTGGAGTTACAAAGGGAGGCAGGAGGCAACCGTCCCCCGTTTCCTCCTATCGCAGAAATTCTTCCCTGCCACTAAAAGAAAAGTTAGCTATGAATATATCCACGTAAGGCAGAAATACGAAATAAGTGTGTTTTGTAAACTTCTGCAGCCTCGGAAATTTATTTTATTAAGGAGTGAGGTGGTGAACTGGCATATTTTATACAGCTGTTACTGTGAAATGACAACACTGTGACTAACCATTGTCTACTTACACGTTGACGGTCTTACTAGCTTCAGCGCTCCGTGAACATTATTCCTAAAGGTATTCCATCGGAACACGTTCCCTGGTATATTGGCACAGCTTTGCGCTAATGTGGCAATTTCAGAATCAGCCATCTTGTAATTCCACATGTTAAACGCAGTAATTTGACCTTGAAATGATCCTGTAGGAGTATCTATTGGCGGCTGATTTTGTCCGATCCAAAGAGTCCCCACAGAAATGTTCGAGAATGAAGACCAGGTACTTTGTATGCCGTTGCCTAATAATTGACCATCAAGAAAAAGGGTCCACTTCTCAGTGTCCCACCATGTCACAGTCAGGTGGCGCCAAGAACCGTCTCCGGGATATGGATTGGTTAAGGTAATAGGGCTATGAATAGAAAATAATCATGGGTTATTCGGAGGGTCAATATGATGCCCATGAGATATTGTTTAGAAAGCGCCCTTGTTAATTTTAGTCCCGAGGATACTCGTTTACATAGGCCATATAGTTAAGTGTGCCCCAAAGGGTATGGCTTGGAACGGTTTCGCCGTTTCGGTCTGAAAATTGGCATAGATTTTGAGGATTTGGTCTGAAATAAAGTGTTTTTCACTCAGGCTAAGCATTGGGCCGGGTATTTTGTTTATAAGGGACTATTTTCCGCAGTAACATTGGGAATTTTGCAGCCCTTCTCAAATGTTTAAGGCATTTCTGGTCAGCTGCGGTTATATAGGAGACACGTGTACTAATTTTAGAGGTCTGAAATGGGGTATCGATATTTCGCTCACGACTGAAATAGGATATTGAAAATCACATATTTTGGCCTCAAATAGGATACGGGTTTCAAGGTTCATGCTGCACATCAGCACCAAAAAACTCTGGGGAGTTCCCCCCCCCCACCCCCCTCGGGAGGGAGGAGATCAACATAGTAGGTGAAACTTACATACCTGCACAGTCCATAAGTATCATCCCAGATACACAATTTTGTTTCGTCTTCACTTTGTATGTAGAATTGTATCTTTACTGACACGTTTCCAAATGAAAACAGTGTGAAAGGGCAAGGGCCGGAAATCTTTATCCACATCGCTGCTGTAAACTGGGAAATGGACGCAGAGCCATCGGTCCAGGCGTAATCATTGACGTCTTGACGCCAGAAATCTAATTCAAAGTTCGAGTCGACCTCATCTAAAAAAAAGTGCAAACAAAGCAAAGTCGAGACTGCAAAGTTTGGGAACCACAGCTCCCCGCCTCCTATGTGGTTGTTATTTCAGCCATTAGGTAAGTTGTTTGAATAAGTAGATGAAGCAAGACTTTTATTGGATGATGACAATGTGACGAATCACTTTATTTCGTGCTTGACATATACCTTAACTACTATAAAATTTCGTTCTCGTTTTGTTCATCTCCTTATTTAATTACCTTCACCCCAGCTGCGTTCTGTAAATCCACCAAACACAAAATTGTCTTTCCTAACTATGGATAGGGTGGGGCCTTTATTGTCACATTTTTGGTGAAAGGTAGAAACACTCCAGCCATGATCCAGAGCGTGATAACAAGGTGTCCAAAGGGAAGAATCATAGCCCTCTTCCTTCAGCATCAGACTTAAGTATTGATGATGAACACTTTCCATTGGAACAATCGAAGAATTTATCACTGTGAATAAAAAGTGGAAAAAAAAAAAAAAACATCACTTAACTACCCAAGGTGGTGGTAGAGAACCTGTCTGACTGTCACAGAAACGACATATAAAACAGTGTAAATTTATTGGTGCTCTATAGATTTTGAGGAAGAGACATCATCATTATTTGTCTCCACTTCCTCCGATTCCGTCGCCTCCTCCTCCTCCCTCATCCTCCTCCCCCCTCATCCTCCTCCTCCTGCTCCTTCTCCTCCTCCTCCTCCTCCTCCTCGTCCTCCTCCTCTCACTCTTTCGTCTCCTCCTTCACCACCACCATCTCCTCCCACTCCTATCCTCTTCATCATCATTATTATAGTAACAATCGTTTCACATCAATTCTCGACCCAAAGCGACCGCTTCAACTGCCAACTGACCAGCTACAGCGAAGAATGGGGGCACTAAGAAAGTAGCTGTTACTCGTACTCAATTTCACATTCGTCCTGCTATTCAAAAGGTGCCTATGGATATCTCTGGCAGCAGCCGTAATAACATCAATAACAATCGAGAGACCAGCTCAAAGACCAAAGTCAAAATAACAACCGCAGACACCATCACCATCAGCATAACAAGAAAAGATCAACTCACCTACACCAGAACCCGAGGGATCCTGTGGCTCAGCCGATGAAGGAAAAAAACTGCACTCTTCTCTTGTAAACTTTATCTGGTCGATAGCGATATCTCCTAAAGAACTAGGTCCTTTAACAGCTTCAAAGATGACCTAAAAATAACAGTCACAGAACTGTCAAATTGATTAAACTATTACAGGATCCCATAAGTAGGAGGTAAAAAGTATGAAGAGTAAGACAGTTAATCCCTCATTGAAGACCTTAGTCCTAAGCTGATCCATCTCAAGCTATATTTAGACCACTCTGTATTGAGAAATGCAGGGTAGGTTTAGAAATAATCAACCCTGGGACTGGAGTTTTACCCCCGCTCACAGCCAAAGCGCTTTACACGCATTTTCATCCTCTCAGAAAACATCTTCTCAACGCACGTGGTAAATTATCCGCGGGAGGACTGGATGCTATGCCAAGAATAACTTAAGAGGGGGATTACCTTTTAGGAATAAGGCCTACATGGAGGATTAACTCTCTTTATCCTCTCTTGGTAAGAGGCTAAATCTTTAATTTGTCACTAACCTAGGGAATGCTCAGTTTTAGTTACGGGTGGCAGTTTTACGTTTCCCTCGATCATCGTAGGAATTTTCTTCAAATGATTCAGCCACGCTTTAAAGTCATTACTGAGATTAGAACACCATTTCAGTGTTTGCTAAGATGGTGTGATCTTAATCATGGTTTCATTGCATGGGCACTCAAAACTAAATACATTTTTAGCTAGATTTATCCTAACTACAGCTTTTCTAGTTGCTCAGGGCACTAGCTCGTGAATAGTGTCAATAGCTTGCCAACGTCTTCGCGTTTTGAATTCTGGAATTATATGATAACAAGATAAAGGGAAACACCATTAAAAAGCCTTCAACAATTCCAGCACAAAGGACCAATATGCTAAAAGGACCGATGGACTCATACAAGAATACGTAAAGGTTATATTTTTTACAGCTTGCACGCGCATGTTTTTACCTATTCAATGAGGCTACAAAATACCATATTTACCTGATATTGCGGTTGAATAACGTTGACGGGGACGTGCGCCTCATTCCACGTATCATTTTGGTCTCCAAATAACCTCCACAATAGCTCTTCGTTTTCATAGAGACCCGTAGAGTAAACATTAAGCCTTCCTACATGTGCACCCGCCATGTGATAATGAAACTTAAGGCATGCGTAAGAGGTGGCATTAGAAGGCGTAACGAATCTTGCAGTTTCTTCAGGCTGCGAAGCATCGAAATGGATATATCGACCTGTACAAAACATAAAACTTCATTAATAATAACGTTAGAAATCGCGGAAGGGAAAAGCATTTTCGTGTTGAAAGCTTGTCATTGCTTGAACATAGACCGCCTTAGTACAACTCGATGTTTGTCTTTTGACAGACATCGGGTTGAACGGATTTAACGTTAAATCCGTGGGCCCCACTTGCATTGCACATTTTCTAACGCAAGGATTTTAGTCATATGCTGCACGTATTTCTTGAGTGTTTTGTCGTTCACACCCTAGTGGGAGCGTAATTTGTACTACAAAGGTTTGGTTTAAAATACGTTCCATCTTTGTATTTGTAGTTCAGTCCTGACGAAGTTTCACTAGTAGACGAAACCGGTCGATTAATAAACTCAGTTATACAAGATTACTAGTTGTTGCTGCCTGCTGCCCACAAATCTTCTTATTTTGAAATTTTAAAATTTTAAAGTACCTAATGTTTGGCTATGTCCAATCTGATTAGCTAAGAACACAGCTAAACTATCCCGGAGTTGATAAAGACATGGCGAAAAGACTGGATAAACGATAGATGGCTCTCGGAGTGCGCGCGATTTAGCTTAGTGCATTATGGCCGAAGAGCATTGACAGGAACCCGTCAATGATTCAATCTCACCGTCTGTGATCTTTTATTCTACAGCCAATGAGGCTTGCTAACACAGCTTATACACTGCATGAATTCGTCAACTATCACTTGATTGCAAAACCCACTGACTGACTATTTCGAAGACGCGCAAATCTGATTGGCTACACACTGTCAGGGCTAATGGCAGACAGAACCAGAGGCTGGTAAATCTCTGAATCGATTTGAAATGTTTTCGTGAGGCTTCTGAAATAAAAATAATATACTTTTTTGTTTGGTTGATCTTTCAGTGGGTAATATGATTGAACAATAAGACGGCTCGCTCTCTGTTTCTCTCGACTTCGATAGCCGATAGAAACCTCAAGCTCGCAGTGTATGTGTTGATTAGTTGGAATAACCAACCAATTATAGGAAAAAAAAAAAAGGGAAAGGGAAGAAAAACGTCACTAACCTCCGCCAGACACATCATCGCATGGCCCAGTCCCCTCCGTCTCAGTACATCCGTGAGATAGCTTCCAGCCACTAGAACTGTTCAACAGTAGTGCCCAGTCCCTTGAGTTATCGTCAAAGTTAAGATAAACTGAAAAACATAAACCAATGGAATTAGGAACAAGGACGAAGAAAGAAGTGTTTAACTGATTGAAGGATAAAGTTACATCTGAGTAATTGCATTGTTACTACTATATAAACGACAAGAAACTTTCTGCTGTTATATTTGAGAGATTTTAATGTCATCTTACGACACCTACCTTCAGATTGCCTTTTACTTTCCTCCTCTTTCATCGCCATCTTCCAAACCTTCAATTCTTTGATCGAAATAGCCCTGCTCCATCCACCGCCATTCTCCGCTGACCCAATCATAAGCTTAAACGGCTCACTCGCCAGAGGTAAGTTTAACTGTTCTGGGGTCGCATCAGAGGCCACCAACTTTCCATTGACATAAAACTTGAGCCCGTCATCAGGAGTCCACGTCAGTGTTGCGTCGAACCATTGGTTCACGATCAATGGATGTTGTATATGCCAGAACGAGTTTTCTTTCCCAAAGAAAATGTCGTATCGCCCACGACGGACGGTGAACGCCAAGCCGTTTTGAAAACTAAATATTTCTGTGAAAAAGAAATTCGAAAAAAAACGAAAACCTGTGAAGCTTCCCTTCTCATCAGCAAGTCGAATTGATACAATATACCTGATAGTATTTGAGGTTATATATACCTCAACTGAAATGGTGCATAATATTAAAGGGTGAATCATTAGAACAACAAAGGTAATATCTAGTTTTAGCCAAGCCTGAAAGCGGAGGTCCCATAAAATACTAATCATTTACTCGACACAATAGCCTTTATCGAACTTCAAAAAGAAGCATTCCACCAAACCAAAAGAATTGAAAACCAAAACGAGTATATTTCCACAGACGAAATATAAAAACCTGAACGTGCGAGTGTCAAATAGCAAATCCTGTTTGCTTTTAAGGCACAAAATTCTCAACAAAAGATGGCGAATGAAAGAATGTTAAAGAAAAAATTCGTTTAAAATCAATTTTCATTCAAGATGAGAATAAAACCAAGAAATGCATTTAGAGGTCCGGAAACACATAAAGGTAAAAAAAACAACATAAAAGTGACAGCAGCCTCACACGGATTTCGCGTAAGAAAGGCCGGGGTTGAATTTTGACGTAATAACTTGTTAGGTTTATTTCACTTCCTCCTGTCAGAAGCATAAACTCTGCTCTTCAAAACTGCAAAAGAACACAGCGAAGACTTCCAAATACCTGTTAGGTTAGCACGTTTACCGTACAACTCCAGTCGTAGTCTGCAGTATTTGTTGATGCCGGTGACATGAACGCGAATGAATCTTCCGTAAAAAGATGGAACAAACCAGTTTGTGACGGCCAAATGCTGATCTGAATTTGCATCAAATTCCTAACATAGAGTGATGGAAATATGAATAAATGTCATTCGATGACTGGTAAAAGTTATGATATTCCCTTTATATGAGTGCGTTAAGGATGCCGGCCTCCCGATAATTACGAAGACACGTTGTCCTTGACAGGAGGGTCATCCTACAGGCCGGGCTATCCTGCTTTGCAGACTGACATTTCCCGGAGGTATGTTGTTAGCGTCTGTGACACAGGCTGTTCATGCCGAGCCACTCTAACAACTAACAACAACCTCGTTTCCGGGCTAAAATTGTTCTTTAAGTACATAAAATTTCCACGGAGAACTATATCAGCCCATAGGTACTCGATAGGAACACTCTATTATTTGTATAAACGCCCGATTAAAGATGGCGCATAGCTTAAAGGAGCACTGTTTCTTCTTTCGAAAGGGTCGTAACAATTGTTAAAAACAACACCTTTGCAATGCATTTTTAAGCCCGTCGGGTATGGAGTTTAGTTTCGTTTAGAAATGACAACGATTTACTTGGGGGAAATCTTCGATTGACTAACATTAATTGTGCGAATGCCTACTAACCAGATTTTCCTTTACTATTCTCCTCTTTCAATTTGGCGTGCAGGTCTTATGACGTCATCACAGCCCTTTCCCAGGTCCTTATATATACTTCGTGCTCGACCCCAACAGTAAGAGAAAGTCTGCAATCTACGCCGTTACAATAAATCACCTTTACTTCACCATTGCTTTGCTCATAAAACTTCCAGTCGTTTCCTTCTGAACTGTACGCGATTTGGTAATTCGTTAACCACTGTAAATTAGTGTCTCTTCCCTGGGTTGCGATACAGTTTACTTCCTGTTGTTGCTGTAAGTCAACCTGCGAATAAACGATATCACAGTTCATTCAGAGGAGCATATCCCGAGGTGACTCAAAAATGTCTAAATGTCCAGTGAAATACCCATACCCACTAAATGCCATTGAAATACCCTTCACCAACTAGCTCCTTCCCTCTCTATTACTTCCTTCTACGAATTTCTCTTCCTTCCTTACTCCACTCTTAAACGGCCTTAAAACAATGAGCTTCTCGTGGCTACCCGACCCCAAGGCTTCTTATGAATATCACCCAATTTAGATGAAGTAACAGTTTACCGAGGGCTTTTATCATGAGATTATCTGATATTTTCTCAAAATATTGAAATCCACTGATGGCGGATCCGAAAGTGCCGACTTTTTCACGATCACTTCACAATTGGCACCTGTTAGCGAGATAGAAAACTAATAAACGATTTCAGAAAACTATCACAGGGTACTGAGGATCGTTCTTTTGAATCAGCCCCTCTTGCCCAAGATCAGGAGTCGACCAGAGCATGTGCCAAATTAGGCCATCAGGTTGTGACTTCCCCATGCTGATGCTGATGATTTGACATGCTCATTCATTCAAACGCAATCACCTGGAACCAATCACCCACTGTGCCAGATTCTCCAGAACGCTTATAAGGTCCCCAGGTACGTGAGCCCGCATTGCTGTTCAGACGCCCTCTAAGCGGCCAGTAGTGATCGTTCGTTTTTGTCTCGTCAGATGACGATGCAGTGAGTCGTTCATTGGGGATCGTCCCATCTTCAAGGCCATGTGCCAATGAGCAGCCTTAAGAGAGAGAGAAGACAAAATAACGAAAAATGATATAAAAGGTAAACTCCGTTCAAACATCAGGAATCGGGACCCATGGTCGCTCATCTGTCAAAGGTGAGCTAGTGTGCGTCGCTTCAAAGTGTCCCATAGCACCGGTTTCTGCATATTAAGTATTTCTTCTTCCCCCTAGATGGAATAATAGCCCATCTACAGGGTTGTAACCATCACTGAATTCGCTGGAAGGATATTTGTGCGCCTAAATGATTAGATGCGCTGTGAGAGTAAAGAATCTTGCCCAGAACCCAATAACCCTGGCCAGGGCAAGATATCGGACCTCTCAATCCACAGTCCAAATTACTATTGATTTGGCCAACACGTTTGCTGAATTGAATCATCTGCCCTGACCGTTAACCCAATATTGGGTAGTATGAAGCAACATTGTTGTATAGCAGGGATTTTTCTCCAAAAGCGTGTGCTCTCATTGAATGTTTTCCGAAGACTGCCTTTGCACGTGAATTCCTTTAAAGTCTTCGTCGTGCAATCCAACAAATCAATTAGTGAATGGTCCCTTGGGACACCAGCTACTTTCGTTTCCTTCTAATCTTTGACATTCTCGGGAATAATATTAACTGGACTGTTTCCCTGAGGACTAGTAGTTCAGTGTTAATTGCGAGTTATCAACCTATTGCTGTTGCCCTGTTAGATCTTTAGAAGACTTTATCGAACATATTTTAACAAGTCCAGCTACAATCAATATGGGTCCATCTACAGGTCAATTACAAACCTGCATCGTAAAAATATAGTTCCATTTTCAAGCATAACACTTTTTGTTCAGTCAAAGTAATTCGAAGTTTGGAAGCCTGGAAAGGCGGAACGAATGCTTCTTTTACCACAACTCCGGCCGATAACAGGTTGAACTGAAGAACCTAAAATATAAGAGTCACTTGATTATAAAATGTACATGCATCCGTTGAAGCAGCATCTATGTAGTGCTTTAGATTTCTTGTTATCTGCGGGCGAAAATTCAGAAACAAACTTGACAAACTGCAGTTCACTACGGGAGGTGTTCTGTAGTGTTGTGACCAAACATAAGAGACGGGAAGGCAAAACAAAAAAATTGAGAAAAGAAGAAAAGAGGTAAGACGAGACGAGACGAGAGAAGAGAAGGGAAGGGAAGGGAAGGGAAGGGAAGAGATCAGAAGAGAAGAGAAGAGAAGAGAAGAGAAGAGAAGAGAAGAGAAGAGAAGAGAAGAGAAGAGAAGAGAAGAGAAGAGGCAAGACGAGACGAGACAAGAGAAGTAAAGAGATGTGAAGCTAAGAGGAGAAAAGAGAAGAGGAGAGTGGACCACAGCAGCAGCAGCAGCAGCAGCAGCAGCAGCAGCAGCAGCAACACCAACAACAACAACAACAACAATAACAGCAACATCAGCAAAACAAACGAACAAAGAAAACAAAACAAAAGACAAAAGAGGAACAAAAGTGAACAGAACAATCATAACAAGGAAGCATTACCTTAGAAGTTTCGCTGCCATCAACCAACTTGCTGTATGTTATCCAGTTCTGTCCCTCGCGAGTCTTTTCGTACTTCACAGTCAAGGCTGTCACATCATAACCTTCCCCAAGACCTTGAAGAGCTACATGGGTCAAAGTGTATTGTTTGCCCAAGAATACTTCCAACCACTCACTTGCATTTGCGCCACTTGAGCACCAGGCCCGAGAATCCCGCAATTCATTTAAGCGTGCGAGATGTGGACTAGTGGTAGCATTTAATACTGAAGAGCTGTCAAAGTTGCCATCAGGTATTGATTGTTTTTCTAGTCCAACTGGTGTTGACGGCACTGAATGAAAAACAACATCAAAATACAAGAAACGTGGAATACATCTTAGTTCTCTTGTTTTTGGGAAAATCCAAGATTGGATTTTTAAATCCACAAAAAAAAAATTGCGTTTCTTTAGTTATCAAATTAATCCAAAATCACTCGGATCATGTGGCATCAAAGGAACCGATAGAATCCACTCTGAGCAAGGATACTTCGGTTTCTTAGACCACCTTGATCCGAGGTATCTTGGATTAACCTGTTTAGTAAAGAGACGTAAATTCCAATCTTGGATTTTCCCAAAGAGGAGCATCCTTAAATCTACCTAAACGTCTTCTTGGCTTACTGCGAAATAGCGCTTGAGTGACTTAGGAGTGGAATAACTACTTTCTCTACTGGGAGACTGGGAATATATCATGGATGGTCCAATATTATGGAAGGAGAACAGCTGAGAACTGACGCAGCCGCAGCACACTATGACGAGATAACAATTAAAAACGAAAACAACCGGACACATTACTGCGTTAGAACAATTAGAGAGTATAACGGATTAGGAAAATTGCAGCAGAAAACAACTTGACTTGTTACGGCAAAGACTGCATTAAGATCAGATACATCTTTGACAGCATTATTTCCTTCTTTCTAATTAACAATCATTTCCCTTCTTAGCTTTGTTGTTAGCTTTGTTAGGAACCCTCAGTTTCACTACCAAGCAAATCTCGAACTGTCATTCTGTTTCGCTTCACAATCTTGTTAGTTTTAATAGTCAAAGAGCAAAAAAAAAAAAAAAAATAACTAAAATAAAATAAAATAAAATAAAATAAGATAATGACGGCAACAGAATGGAATATCTTTTTCATGCAATTTTAAGGTTTATGAAAAAGATCACCGAGGAAAATCGTGAAGTATATTTTACACAGTATCAACTTACCGTGGTAATAAAACACTTCCACCTGGTCTGGGTAGAAACTCTGAGAACCAGCAAAGTAATTCCTTGCTTCAGAAGATGACAGTGAAATACTCGTCACATTGAAAAAAGCACCTAATCTACTAAACCCCATGAGTCGGCCAGACTCGTCTTGAAAGAGCTCAAGGTCCCGTTGTCCGAAGCTTGGCCCAAGCTGAGGATCTGTTCTGGCAGATGTTTTTTCTTGTTGGATCGGAAAAAACTGGGATGACTGGCCTGACGGGTTTGACAGGCTAAACAGGAATCCTTCGAGCTGATGTCCAATATCTTGTGATGTTCCTGAACAGAGAATAAAAAAGAAAGAAAGATAAAAATAAATAAATAAATAAATAAATAAATAAATAAAAACAAGATAAAAATTGATAAAAGGTAGAACAGCTATGTCACGAGTGGCTGTTAGTACAGTGTAATTTTAAAAGAGATCAATTGTGTATGCGAGGATAAATTAAGTGGAATAAAGTGTATATACCTTCTCTGAATAGTAGTTTTGTTAATGAGAAAAGTCTCTCTTCTCATGTCACTTTAGAATTGTAAAGACAATAATCAGTTGATCGAAAAGAGCCAGAAATAGTTAAAAAAGAGAAGACTGAAATGAGATTAAAGTGTTATTTAATTTTTATTCCGTCAAAGAGAAAAACGTTTCATGCATTTTGTAACAAGATGCTTTATCAAGCTTTCAAGGTTTGATAAGTCTATGGAACCATAAAATTATGCTGGAATTTACCAGTCCGGGATTACAAAGTCAAAGTGTATAAATTGTGGACCACACCCGCTCAATCAGTGTTTGTTTCGATCATTTCAGCCTTTCAATCGGAGCTACCATACAGGAGCCCATTTAGAGAAAATATCCCGGCTACGCAGTGTCCTTATAAAAGAAGCGAACATAATACACCGTATGACCACAAGCATATTAAATAAAGTGATTTTATCGTAGTTTAAAATGCCGGCTTTGTCTTTGCGGTAGGTAAATATGTCATTCTACGAATGTACAGTACATCAATGCGTGATCCATAGATCCAGAGTGTTACTTTTATTTGTGCTACAAGCCTCTGTAATTTTAGCTAAAATGACGTTGGAGCTTGATTTCTCTCAAAGGTGCGAGCCATATAGTCTGACAACAAAAAGAGCTACGATTTTGGAAGAACAAGACGAAGAAGAAGATAGAAGCGATAAAATTATTTTCATCGACTGACGTATTCTATTATAATGCCTACCTCCCCAGCTCTGTTCAACAAAGCCACCGAACACGTATTCGCGAACGCGAATGACAGTCAAAGAAGGTCCCTTAGAGTCGCAATTGGAATGAAATTCCGCAGTGCTCCAGGATGAATGGTCAGCGGAGTAACATCGCTTCCACATTGCATAGTCACGGATGAATGTTGGGAAGGCTGAGCGAAGCGCTTCGAGAGATTTAAAGTCATCCTTCAGTATATCGGAGGACATAACTGAAAGAGGATATTAAAGAAAAAAATACATTAAAGGAACTACGTCACGGTTTGTGCATCTTGAATATTTTAGCCTAAATTTTTCAAGTTTGTCGTTTGAAATCCGTGTTAATCTTCTCCATCCTTTTTCCTTTATGGTTTGTTTCTTTCAATTTAAAGGAAATTTTGCTCGTGACCAAAATAACTCAAAATACCGTGAATGAGCTTCCTTAAATTGCCACCGAATTCCACCATACTATACAATCACGGAGATTCGTCTTTCACCATCCGTGTTGTGTTCTCTGATGATTGTTGCTCGAATTTGAATTTTCGCGCCAAAGAAACAACCATTTAGAAAGGTCAGAGCACGTCATCACCATCGAATTATTCTGGTGATGGTGTGACATTATCGTGACCCAAAATGACGTGAAATTAGCATGACCTATAGTTACCTGTCTGCCTTACTGAAAATGAAACTGTGAATCCCTGATCCTTGCTGAGATCTGAACTGATATTCTCCGCCACAAAGTGACCTTGGTCTTCGATCACAAGGGACTGCTGGTCAGCGGATACCCTTGCGTCAGTCAGTTGGGCGATGTGATTGTTGTTCAGGTCAATGCTTTCTGTAGTACTTGACTGGTCAAAGTTCCAGTGATACATTTCTAAATCAACAGAGCAAAGACTGAGCGTTATATTGACGATTTATTAACATTAAAACATGACATATGTTCATGGCAAAAACTCCTCAATCAATGATATTTTCATAAAACATTGAACGCATCTCACTATACTCCTCGTCAAAACCAATTAAAATGCACGGTGAATTCGGTATTTATGGGTTAACACTAGAGGAGCATGTACTACACGTCCTCGTGCGCTAACTGTCTACTAGTTGTTTGATTAGAGTGAGTTTGGCAGAATTAATTGTAAACAAGCGGGTGGTAGTTTATCTGTACTATTATAACTAGCCCAGATCTCCTACGGACTCACTTTTCAGCATCAGTGTGAGACCTGTGTACGAAACTATCTGCACTAGTTAACACTTGATATTTATTTTGCGCTATTTTCCCTGTCTTTCTTTTTTTTCAGAATTGGGGGTGGGGAGGGGGTTTGGGGTGGGCACCATAATGCACATGTCTGATTCCGATCCAGGAGTCGGTGTTCTGGCCTTGACCGGTGTCGGTTTCAATAACCGCATTGTGTTATGTAGCAGAAAGTGTATGTCAACTCATAAGCATACAGAGAAACTAGTAAAGTGGGTTCAGAATACTGCCGGGTGGAGTGGGAGTAACGAGGGCGGGGGAGGGGGGAGGGGGGAGTATGTGCTATGGAAAATCATCCCAAAGCAGAATCAACGACTATACCTTTTGACGTGCATGGGGAGGACGGCACGTATTGCACTGTGCCCACCGCCATGGCTGCAAAAAAGCTCCACTGTAAAAGGTTTCCCGTTTCTGCTTGACACGATTGCGCGATACTTTGAATAGAAGCTTCTGATAGAACTTTATCCCACAAATTCACGTACGATACTTCTCCCTCAAGTTGGTTTGAGCTTTTTGCCTGAACGGCCCCAAACAACAGTTTTCCGCTGCCACTGAATGTCACCCCGTCGCCGATTCTCTCGGAGAAAGATGTTGAAGTGCCATCCATGTATGCAGTGGCCTTTCCTCCACTATTTGACCATAAAACGCACAGATGGTGCCAGCTGCCATCTGGCGTTGGAAATTTCACACCTGCTCTTTGTTTCCCGGAACTGCAAACAAATGAGAAACGGGGGTAGTTTCATTATACCTTCGCAAATAATTATCCAATCAAACTTTGGCACTAACGTCAGGCGTTAATCCAATCTTTTCCTGTAAAGTTTCTACTCCTGTAAATGTCTTTTATCTTAAAATTCTAATGTATACACTTTTTCTTATTTTCTAGACAATATTTGTAATTTTTAATTTGCTGTATCTGTCCTACTATTATTACTGTTTGTAATTTACATTGAGGGCCACTGGTTTACCAGTTTTTACTGTAATGTGCTACCCTCGTTAAATAAAGTTTTTACTTACTTGCTACTTGTTGTTACTTACTTGTTACTTGTTAGTTTTTATATAGAGGCGACATATTGGGCACTACAGCTAGTTATGAACAATGCAAGCGAATGCAAAGTTCACATGCACTCCTGGTATTTGTTGATACCGAAAAGCCATTTCCAATTAAAGTTGTCCTGTGTCTCGGATTCCAAACGAGTCCTCATGTAAAACGAGTCTTCTAGCATAAGATTACTTCACTCTTTTTCTTATTTTTTTACTTTTTCACAAGTAGTGAAGTAATATATCAAACACGACAGACAGTGTTTGACCACATTTCCAAACACCAAGAAGAGAGTTGAAAATACGACGCGCAGCGGAGTATTTTTGACGAGCTTTGGGGTGTTTGGAAATGTGGTCAAACACTGTCTCGAGTGTTTGTTAGATCTTCTCAATCGAAACTAAAACTAAGGAGAAAACGGAGAACCAAAATCGTAAAAATCTATGTTAATTAAGATCAGATATCCAAACACCGTCACGGTCATGATTTCCTTTGTTTAAACTTGATGAATTATTAATGAGTTTGAGAATTGTGCTTGCAAAGCGCTTTTCCAGACTCGTTTTGACACAGAAGCTGCAGGAAATGGATAATTTCATTCATCACAACCTACATGCCTTGAGTACTTGCAAGTTAAAGAACAAATTAGAATTCCGCACCAAAAGCGAAGCTAAGCTTGACATTTTTTAAGTTCGTGCCCAAAACTGTATCAGAAAATCTTCAAACTAAACGGAAACAAGGGAAATTATCATAACAACTTGCTGATAAAAAATAGTTCGTTTCAAACCAAATCTTTAGATATTCGAAGTATAAACCTCATTGATGTATATATGTCTCAGCAGCGTGCGGCGATTCTTCAAAATTATTTTGTATGATTTGAATTTCTAAGTCTGCTTCTAATCAATTCATTGAAAAAAAAAAAATTTCAAACTCTCAGAGTCATACCTCGGCCATATAATTAAGGACAACGAGGGCCCACCGTCATCGTTGAAGTCTTTAATAATCAGAGTGAAGTTTCCATCTTCTGCAAAGTATCGCAGCAAGGTCATCGTATTCTCCTGAACGTAGAGCTTATGCCAAAGACACACAGTGAAAGCTTTGAACTCTGTTAGGACGGTTCGCCAAAGAATAATACTTGTTTCTGCGGTATTTTTTCCAAAAATTAAAGTATAGTCTCCTGAATAACCTGAAAAAAAAGGAATAATATATTTGATCAAACGAATTCAGTAAAATACCCATTAACCCACCTATTCCCTCCAACCACTATATCGCCACTCCCTCTTTCAGTTGTCTCCTTCCGATCTCTCCTTCTTCATCCCTCTCTCTCTCTCCTTCCCTCCCTCACCCCTGCTCCCACCCACTCCCTCCCTCTTAGCTTGCGTAATACGCGTTTCAGTAATATTAAGTCATGAGTTGGCGCGGAGCCACAACTGCGGCAATTCCACTTCCTATTATGACTAGAACGCCTGCTGAACATCACAACTTCGCACGCTGAAGGTTGGACACTGAGTGTGTGTCATTTAACCAAAATTCGAAGAACGTTCGAAAGGAATCTGAGCAAATAAGACAGTAAATGTTTTGAAAAATCTGTAAAACTGTAAATTGTGGACTATGTGAGGAACATGTAGTTAAGTTCGTTCATTCTGATGTTGCATGAGACGTAGGAAAATTCTACACCACTTTTTTTTTTCATTTCTCCCATTTTCGGTGGCCCATCAATAACAAATCGTAACCACAAAATTAAAAACTTATTTTAAATAGCAAGCATCACTTCTCTCGGCTGGCTGTTGCTTTGCTGGGTTTAGATAATCACCTAACATTATACGACAGCAGCACACCCGGCTCCTTTCGGTAGTTACAGTGACTTTAGCCAAAAATGTAGAGTTATAAAGGAAAGGAACTTCAAGTAACCCCTCACCTTCTGTCCTCCTTATTTTCATACTAGTTGTCATGAGTTTTCCACCAGCGTCGCCTGAATTGGGAAAGTCGTCCCACGTCATATTGCCGGTGTTTTGTCCATATTGAGAATTTAGCAACACCTCACCGCATGAAGAAGTAAACCACCAGCCAACTCCCTGGACGTCTGCACAGGTTCCCACTGAAAAGATAGCATTACTATGCGTCCCTAGTTTATTGGGAAGATTGCCTGAAAAATCGCCTAGAGAAAGTCGATAATGATCGTTTTCCCCTGCAACGTGAAAGTCGCTGTACATTGCAAATCCCTTGCTGCCATCGAACGCTTCCAACTGAATCAAAAGTTCAGTGTTTTCGGTGGTCAAGCTGTGAATTTTGTCATTGCCGAGCCACATCTCTGATTGGCTGCCAACTGTTCCAAAACCATTTTTGTATTCATCCCACGTCCTGAAGAAACTTAATGAGCCGTCGTTCCTCTGCTGAATGATCGTCCAACCACCTCCCTGAGTCTCCTGGTCGCAGAAAACGTCAAATTCATATTCGTTGTTTAAAGGACTTATTGTGTGAACTCCGGAAGTTTTGTTTCCAGCTAACAGCACTTCTCTACAGTCAGCTGCATTGAAAAAAAAAAAGCAAAATAAATCATTTATGCAGCATTGGAATTGTGCGACGTTTCGGCACCGCGCGCACTTAAGCGGCGTCACGTGTCACACAAACTGGCCTGTGTTTTTTTACTTCAGTTCGTCATCAAAACTGTGATGATTCGTCAGTAGACGCTTATATTAGTAACTTGAAAATTAACGATTAACAATACTTAAGACGTCGAATTCCGAGGGTCTGGAGAAAACGAAATTCATAGTGACAGTGGCTTAAACCGGAAACAACACTTGTTTCACCATGTGTACTTGACCTCTTTGCTGGCTTGTATCCACCTGTACTGACGATTATCAACCATTCCAGTAAAAGCTGCCGGCCAATAATCATTTGATAATACACAGTTTTGACGCTAAGTAGTGTTTCTTTGATGCTACAGCTATACAAGGAGTACTGAAAAGAGTCTCACCGGGTCTCGGTATTCATAGTTGGTACATATATAATTGGGAAAGAAATGGTGGCTTGCTTGGAAGGATGCATAGCGACGGCTGATTTGGTGCTGGTTAAGAGGCCTGGGTGCATTTTAATAACTGGGTACTTACCAGGTTTCCAGGCCCGCACCTCAGTGCACTGACCAACTCCTGGACACGATTTGGTACGACGATTTTCCGTTGGCTTTTGCCCGGGTGTTAACATTGGGTGAGAGCTCCACTCTGAGAAAGTACAAGGCAAAGAGCGACCTAACAAGGAACACAAAGGCAAAATTCCTCTCAACGGCTTTCATACATATTGACTGGTTCTCATTTGAGACATCAAACCCGGAAGTGTACGTAACGGAAGTTTAGTTGGGGTGATGGCCTTGAAGCCTTCAATTTTTGACCTTGACTGAGACAAAACTTCCCACATTTTGCTACCCTTTTTGAAACACGTCAAATTTTATTCATCCTTTTTAGGTAACAATCCAGGTGTCACATGCTGTTCAATTCTAAAGTCATGGGAAATAGTTCGAGCGTTAAAATTAAAGAAAAATGTCGTGCCGTCTAGTTCACGGCCTTTGCATTTTTTTTAGTAGGTAGCCTCCAGGGCCGGTAAGTTTCTTGGAAAGCCGATTATAACTCATTAACATATCAAAATATTTTGCATAAAGTGTCTTCATGGTTTGTGATTTCTGAAGAAAGCTGCAAAATCCAGAATGACAATGACAGCAAAAAAAAAAAAAAAGATTAGTGAAAAGTTACAACACTGCCGGCAATCTAGACTCACTCTAATTTTGGGTTAGCTTTATCGTAATTTGAAAAGCCGGGCTCTGGAACAACCACTAGTACGTACCCATAATTTTTCCAATTTCCTCTGCACTCAAAGCTCTTGAAAACACGTAAAGGTCACTGAGAAATCCATGGAAGTAAAGATAATCGTTTTCAGACGTATTGTTGAATTGTCCAATGGCGAATGGACCACTATTAGGACTCTGCCATGAATGAGGTGTACTCAGATGCTTGAGCCCGTTAATGTAAAAAAGTAGCTCATTGGAAGTGCTTAAGGACACAGCCACGTGCAGCCACAGTTTTTCGTGAAGCGGCTCGTCTACCTCCTTGCGAGTTGACGTGACCCCGATCGTATTTTCAAACAGCAGTTTATTGTCAGCATCGACACCAAACCAAAATTGTCCGTTTAAGTATCCGCCATTTTGACTGAAGAGTATTGGCTTTAAGTATGGATTGGATGGCAATAGTTTTACCCAACAAGCAATGGTAAAGGTCGTGCCAAGATTGACGAAAGGTGCTTCAAGATAGGCCATTGTTTGATCCAGGTAAACAGCTTTATGGTCGTCAAGGCGACCCTCCACAAAGGACGCACTGTAAAGGGGACTGTGAAGGGAATAACTTGCGTCAAAGGTGTTGAAGCAAAGGCTCGTTTGTCCTTCTTACTGATTCGTTAAGACAATAAAGATTTTCTTTGATGCCATTTTATCCTTTTAGAGTCGGTGCTGTGAAAAATAACTAAAAGGCCAGATACATCATGATACATACAATTTTGCACTGGTGTAATTTCAGCACTAGTTGTACGTGAATGTTTTTTGCAACTGGCTAAAAATACCTCGATCGCTGCTATATTAAAAGGCAATTTTCAGAGTGTAAAGAGTATATAGGAGACATGAATGTATGTACTATATAACCGTCACCAAACCAGAGAGACCATCATCAGAAGGCGTAACAGTGATGAAGGCGGTTGTGATTGTAATTAGGGAACTTAAGCAAACCACGACGACAACGGCAAGTCACCAAACAAATGGTGAGAAATGATGAGAAGAGAAGAACGAGGCGGAAAATTCCCAGGAGGAAACTATGAAGAGGCAAGAGAGGGGTCGAGGTTAAGTACGATGAGCTAGGATAAACGGGATCTGGGCGAGGATTGACGATAAGGAATTGCATGAAAAGAGGAAAATGAATAAGAATGGAGAGGAAGATGACCATCAGAGTAGAAATACAGTTGAGGGGGCATGAGGGTGGGGATAATGATTCAGGAGGAGGAGGAGGAAGAGGAGGAGGGATGTGGGAGTGGATGACAAGAATTAGGAAGGCGATGAGGTTGAAGCTGGGGCTGAGACTGAGACTGAGCATGAGAATGAGGATGAGGATGAGAATGAGGATGAGCATGAGGATGAGGATGAAGATAGGATAAAAAATGTACATATGGGCGAGTTAGGATACGTAGGATGACCACAAGGATGAAGATCAAGATAAGGAGGGATGTGGGGATGTGCGGATGTGGGGATGTGGGGCGGATGTGTGTGCAGAGATGGATATGAATTAGAAAGATGAGGAGGACAAAGAGGGGAATAGGTAGAAAGTGTTATCAAGAAGAGAATAACGATAACTATGAATAGAGAAACGATCCCTATGGTCAACGTTAAAGCCGACAAAACAATAAGGAAATAAACCTCAGCTCGTTATCGCTTCCATCAAGCCTCCAGTGCTTCAGTTCATCTGTTACGTCAGTCTCTGAAAAATAAATGTTGGCGTTAAGCTTCCAATACACGGCTAACAAAAAAAGTTAAAGATTGATCTCCACGGAAACGTTAATTTATTTACCTTCCATGTTTGCAGTTTAACCAAACCGTAACAAGAAGCTAATATTATCTCAAGCAAATAACCTCGGTCTATTTCTATTTTAATAGGGTCTAACCGTTCATCAGATACACTTCAGTGTATGTCTGCCTGACGTAACTGTGAAGTTTGTTTATTGGTTGTTTCCCTCACTCGTGATATTACATGATACGTATTTTTCGTGAGCCGGCTATCAGTTATAAGCTCTTGCCGTTCTGGTTGGTATGACCATCATTGGTATGACAGGTTATCCAAGGGGTACTAACATTACCGACATTAGGAATGCGCTAAAAGGATGGCTTTGTCGAATAAGCGGTAGAGATTTTACCATGTAAATGACGTCAGTAACACAAATGCTTAATATAATTCACGCATTTGAAGACAACGTTTAAACCTGTCTCTTGTTGTCATGGAGACAAATGTAAGGTACTATTAGAAACAAAGATAAAACACGACTCTCCGACCAGCTGCAATATCAGTGCGATTTTTGGCGATTGATCTCCGCGACTTGCCGCGATTCGATGCCAACCCACGAGAAACGTTAAGCATCAGCAGCATTTCACCACATGGTAGGCGCACGTTCCTTTACAAAATTGCGTGGTGAAAAGTGGGTTTTCCCGTCGGTTTCCCTGTTTTTACTATCTTTCCTTTGTTGTTTTATTTTTTCGGGGGGGGGTGGTGCTGTTGTGAAAGACTTTTATCCTTGTTCGCCATGTCAATCGCATCAGAATTAACCGCACAAATAGAGTGTCATCATACGTTGCAAACACCATCCGAGGTGTCCCACCTGAGTCGTGGTTGTCACTTTTAAATCAGAAATCGTCGCAAATCAGAATTGCATAAGCTTTCGAACACGTTCGAAACTCCTGCGATGGGGCGGCGACAAACCGCATTGAAATCGCAGCTGGTTTACAAGCGCGATTTTGAATTGCAAATCTCGACGCGACAAAAATTGCGCTGAGTTGCGCGACAAAACTCGCCTGTGTAAACGGGCCCTTCGCGATACACAGATAAACGCGCGCCGAGAAACGTCTTGTACCAATATAAAATCTGACTGAGAATTAACGAGAAAGAAAAACTTTTTAAGGGTCTAGTTCACTCTTACCGGTAAAAGGGCAACTTGGTCCTTCCATCGCAGAACCACCATATATACCCTGCTTAAACTCCGGCCACGAAACAAGTTCCCCGCGTTGCACTCCACACTTGGAAGAAAGAACAGCCAGTTGGGGGTGGTCCAAAACGGACGGCCATGCATTTACATGACTTAACCTGCCTGTGTATAACACCCGACCTTGTGCTCCAATTCCCAACGTAAGGACTCCCTTCGACGATAGTAGGTTTCTGGTTTTAAAGTCAACTCCAGTCAGAAGTAACCTGCCGTCATAATAAACCATAAAGAAGCCGTCTTCTTTTTGCCACGTCACGCACAGACCATGCATATTGCCAGCCTGAACACCGGGTAATACCTGCAGTTGCCTGATAAAAACAGCAACAAAAGAACATTACAACAGCGGAGAGAGAATTCGCTGCCTTAAGCAGACGAAATTAATCATGTCTGGCCATTTAATTGATTAATCAAATGTGATAGAGTGGTTTTCAATTGAGTGTCGTAAAACCAAAACCAAAGTAACCACTCTAGCTAATCACAAAGGATACAGACAATAAAGTGAACCAATCAAAACTCGAGGTAATTACAGGCAGCTGACGCAAAGCGCGGGAAAATGCATGCGAACGCGTCACGATTGGTTTTGGTTGTACTTCTGATTGGATGAAAAAGAGGCGCGAGTTTTTTAAGCCAATCGTGTGGCGAAGAAAGTGCAAAACCAATTACTTTTCGACACTCAAATGAAAACCGTTCTATTTGCAGACCCAATCTAATTTCTGGCGAACATAAGAGGATTATCTGTTGATGACGTCATCTTCTACCTTTAGCCTTACAACATAATCCAATGATCTCATGCTGTAAGCAAAATCATTGCTCTCACCTGCGTGCGCCTCGAGAAACTCTTACACTTCTTTCGTGCTCTCCAAATCATCCCACCTCCACGATAAGCGCTTAACCATGCTCAATCGTTAAATATATATTTCTGCACTCTCGTTCACCATTTTGACGGCACAAAGTCTGGTAGCAAAGTAAGTTTAATTCCTGTATTAAAGGAGCCACGTCACGGTTTGCTCAACTTAAAAACTTTAGTCTAAATTTTTCAAGTTCGTCGTTTGTAATCCGGGTCAATGTTCTCCATCCTTAACCATCCTTGTTCCTTTACGGTTTCTTGTTATCTCTTTGGTGTTTTTCTATCTTAGTAAACTATTATTTTCAGGTTTCCTTCAATTTAAATGTTATTTTGTACGTGGCCAAAATAACTCAAAATACCGTGACTGAGCTCCTCTAAGGTCAATGAAAAGATTTACCTATCTTCGCCAAAGAGCGAAAAATCTAGATGCCCTCCAGGGCTTAAAGACAAGGCAATAAGGACATTCGACGTCGACTGGTCAGTGTAGCGTAAAATTCCAAGGTTCGAGGCACCAGAGGTACTTAACCACAAGCATATGGTGAAAGCTTCAATGTCTGTATCTCGGTCAATGCTAACATTTGGCTGAACGTTAGGAAATTCAAAATAAAATTCCTGATCTGCAAAGAAAAAAAATTGCGAGGATGAGATGTTAGTATGAAATGTGCATTTCTCCTAGCTGGAAAAAAAATAGTAAGGAAAAAAAGTAAAATTGTGACTGAGTGTCCTCCCACATTTACGAAGTGTGCCTAATCCAAGATGAAGATAGGAAGTAAAATGCTCAAAGAAGAGCAAACGGCAGAATTCAAAAACGTCTTCCCGTATCGTTCAGTTTGGGACTAAGTTCATGCTTGACTCATGTTAACCCTGTTGGTCAAATACTTCAGTGTTTCATAGTAACTTTAAGACACCTAAACCCTTATTATGTACTAATCCCTTGAAATTTTCCATTGGTTTAATTATTTTATTGTTTGGCTCAGGGACGCTAATCCATGCCCTAATAGAGCACCTTTACTCTTTTATACTCCTGGGGTTAAGACAGTCACTCTAAGTGTTAAAGTTTATCCCAACACGAGGAAACTGAGGCTGCGCTTAAGCTCCCACCGATGGCCAGGAACCTTAATTCTTGCTGTTACCACACAAAAGTGACCCATAAGATCTTCTTATAAAGTCTACCTAATCGATAGTAATATAGGTTTAAATACATCCGCAGTTTTCTGTAATCAATGCTCTCAAGAACCAGCTAATTGTTTTCATCTCTAGAACCTAGGCAAAACTAAATGTCACAAAAACGTTTGAGGCTTCGGCACAGATGGTGTTTGTCGAGAGAAAGAAGACATTCTTTTGCAATCCCTGTAAATCCCCGCCAAGTTCGTGGTTGACTCTTTGTAGTTGAATTCTACTAGAATACTGATGCAAACGCTGCAATCTGGTTGGCTGAGCCCTCGTACATTATCGGCCATGACATGTATTGTTAAGTGGCTGGAGGTCGTCTTAAACGTGGTAATCTTTTCTCATTTTTGCGAAAGTTTTAAAGGGGCATTTAGAAACACTACTGGACAATTCCTGGGAAGACTGAGAGAGTAAATTATATTTCCCGTTACTCGACTTAAAAAAAAATCGAAATTGTTGGCGAATCTGATAAGTTTCTGTACAATATTGGTTGTTTCAAATGGTAATTCAGTCCGAGCGCAATTTTGCCAAAGCGGGTAGTTTCGTACTACGTGGAGAAATAGTTGTAAATCGTTATTTGAAAGAAATTTAGTTAGAATCATACTAAAAAATTCAAAGTAGCCAAACTCCATTCCTCGTATAATTGAATAAAAAAAAGTCAAGGATATCCGTATTTTCAAAGCACCTAGGAGAATGGAATACTTTGGTTCGAAAAATCAGGTAATTTTTTGTAAAGGGAGCCAAAAGATCCTTCGAATAATTGTGAGATTCGCAAGAAAATCCATATAATAATAAATGATTAAATAAACAAAAATAGACATAGAGTAGGAAAAATTCGAACGTTAATTCAATATTCCTTCGTTGAAATCTTAAGCTTGCCGTCTAATTGCTAAAAGAAAACAACTGACATTATCAAATGCTTGTTCCAAAAATGTTTAATTAGTTGCGCAAGCCTTGTTAATTTACAGCACTTATGCAATAATCTGTCACCAGTTTCTTTAAGCTAGATACATTCAAGAACCCATATAAGCGAGATTTTTGTCCCTTTTTTTCGCTAACAAATGCGTGTAATTACAAGACGCTTGGCTTCCCGCTGACAATACACAGAAGTGATTAGAAAACATGTCAATGTTGTGTAAGAAAGCTTCCGACACCAACCCTGGAGTTCTATTTGCTCAACGCGTTTTCTTTGCTTAGCTAACTTACAAATTATCGGAAGGCGGATTTTGTCTCTAAGATGTTGCATTGGGGCTAATTTAAAAAAAATGCAACTATTGTGAATAATCNGAGGAGGAGGGATGTGGGAGTGGATGACAAGAATTAGGAAGGCGATGAGGTTGAAGCTGGGGCTGAGACTGAGACTGAGCATGAGAATGAGGATGAGGATGAGAATGAGGATGAGCATGAGGATGAGGATGAAGATAGGATAAAAAATGTACATATGGGCGAGTTAGGATACGTAGGATGACCACAAGGATGAAGATCAAGATAAGGAGGGATGTGGGGATGTGCGGATGTGGGGATGTGGGGCGGATGTGTGTGCAGAGATAGATATGAATTAGAAAGATGAGGAGGACAAAGAGGGGAATAGGTAGAAAGTGTTATCAAGAAGAGAATAACGATAACTATGAATAGAGAAACGATCCCTATGGTCAACGTTAAAGCCGACAAAACAATAAGGAAATAAACCTCAGCTCGTTATCGCTTCCATCAAGCCTCCAGTGCTTCAGTTCATCTGTTACGTCAGTCTCTGAAAAATAAATGTTGGCGTTAAGCTTCCAATACACGGCTAACAAAAAAAGTTAAAGATTGATCTCCACGGAAACGTTAATTTATTTACCTTCCATGTTTGCAGTTTAACCAAACCGTAACAAGAAGCTAATATTATCTCAAGCAAATAACCTCGGTCTATTTCTATTTTAATAGGGTCTAACCGTTCATCAGATACACTTCAGTGTATGTCTGCCTGACGTAACTGTGAAGTTTGTTTATTGGTTGTTTCCCTCACTCGTGATATTACATGATACGTATTTTTCGTGAGCCGGCTATCAGTTATAAGCTCTTGCCGTTCTGGTTGGTATGACCATCATTGGTATGACAGGTTATCCAAGGGGTACTAACATTACCGACATTAGGAATGCGCTAAAAGGATGGCTTTGTCGAATAAGCGGTAGAGATTTTACCATGTAAATGACGTCAGTAACACAAATGCTTAATATAATTCACGCATTTGAAGACAACGTTTAAACCTGTCTCTTGTTGTCATGGAGACAAATGTAAGGTACTATTAGAAACAAAGATAAAACACGACTCTCCGACCAGCTGCAATATCAGTGCGATTTTTGGCGATTGATCTCCGCGACTTGCCGCGATTCGATGCCAACCCACGAGAAACGTTAAGCATCAGCAGCATTTCACCACATGGTAGGCGCACGTTCCTTTACAAAATTGCGTGGTGAAAAGTGGGTTTTCCCGTCGGTTTCCCTGTTTTTACTATCTTTCCTTTGTTGTTTTATTTTTTCGGGGGGGGGTGGTGCTGTTGTGAAAGACTTTTATCCTTGTTCGCCATGTCAATCGCATCAGAATTAACCGCACAAATAGAGTGTCATCATACGTTGCAAACACCATCCGAGGTGTCCCACCTGAGTCGTGGTTGTCACTTTTAAATCAGAAATCGTCGCAAATCAGAATTGCATAAGCTTTCGAACACGTTCGAAACTCCTGCGATGGGGCGGCGACAAACCGCATTGAAATCGCAGCTGGTTTACAAGCGCGATTTTGAATTGCAAATCTCGACGCGACAAAAATTGCGCTGAGTTGCGCGACAAAACTCGCCTGTGTAAACGGGCCCTTCGCGATACACAGATAAACGCGCGCCGAGAAACGTCTTGTACCAATATAAAATCTGACTGAGAATTAACGAGAAAGAAAAACTTTTTAAGGGTCTAGTTCACTCTTACCGGTAAAAGGGCAACTTGGTCCTTCCATCGCAGAACCACCATATATACCCTGCTTAAACTCCGGCCACGAAACAAGTTCCCCGCGTTGCACTCCACACTTGGAAGAAAGAACAGCCAGTTGGGGGTGGTCCAAAACGGACGGCCATGCATTTACATGACTTAACCTGCCTGTGTATAACACCCGACCTTGTGCTCCAATTCCCAACGTAAGGACTCCCTTCGACGATAGTAGGTTTCTGGTTTTAAAGTCAACTCCAGTCAGAAGTAACCTGCCGTCATAATAAACCATAAAGAAGCCGTCTTCTTTTTGCCACGTCACGCACAGACCATGCATATTGCCAGCCTGAACACCGGGTAATACCTGCAGTTGCCTGATAAAAACAGCAACAAAAGAACATTACAACAGCGGAGAGAGAATTCGCTGCCTTAAGCAGACGAAATTAATCATGTCTGGCCATTTAATTGATTAATCAAATGTGATAGAGTGGTTTTCAATTGAGTGTCGTAAAACCAAAACCAAAGTAACCACTCTAGCTAATCACAAAGGATACAGACAATAAAGTGAACCAATCAAAACTCGAGGTAATTACAGGCAGCTGACGCAAAGCGCGGGAAAATGCATGCGAACGCGTCACGATTGGTTTTGGTTGTACTTCTGATTGGATGAAAAAGAGGCGCGAGTTTTTTAAGCCAATCGTGTGGCGAAGAAAGTGCAAAACCAATTACTTTTCGACACTCAAATGAAAACCGTTCTATTTGCAGACCCAATCTAATTTCTGGCGAACATAAGAGGATTATCTGTTGATGACGTCATCTTCTACCTTTAGCCTTACAACATAATCCAATGATCTCATGCTGTAAGCAAAATCATTGCTCTCACCTGCGTGCGCCTCGAGAAACTCTTACACTTCTTTCGTGCTCTCCAAATCATCCCACCTCCACGATAAGCGCTTAACCATGCTCAATCGTTAAATATATATTTCTGCACTCTCGTTCACCATTTTGACGGCACAAAGTCTGGTAGCAAAGTAAGTTTAATTCCTGTATTAAAGGAGCCACGTCACGGTTTGCTCAACTTAAAAACTTTAGTCTAAATTTTTCAAGTTCGTCGTTTGTAATCGGGGTCAATGTTCTCCATCCTTAACCATCCTTGTTCCTTTACGGTTTCTTGTTATCTCTTTGGTGTTTTTCTATCTTAGTAAACTATTATTTTCAGGTTTCCTTCAATTTAAATGTTATTTTGTACGTGGCCAAAATAACTCAAAATACCGTGACTGAGCTCCTCTAAGGTCAATGAAAAGATTTACCTATCTTCGCCAAAGAGCGAAAAATCTAGATGCCCTCCAGGGCTTAAAGACAAGGCAATAAGGACATTCGACGTCGACTGGTCAGTGTAGCGTAAAATTCCAAGGTTCGAGGCACCAGAGGTACTTAACCACAAGCATATGGTGAAAGCTTCAATGTCTGTATCTCGGTCAATGCTAACATTTGGCTGAACGTTAGGAAATTCAAAATAAAATTCCTGATCTGCAAAGAAAAAAAATTGCGAGGATGAGATGTTAGTATGAAATGTGCATTTCTCCTAGCTGGAAAAAAAATAGTAAGGAAAAAAAGTAAAATTGTGACTGAGTGTCCTCCCACATTTACGAAGTGTGCCTAATCCAAGATGAAGATAGGAAGTAAAATGCTCAAAGAAGAGCAAACGGCAGAATTCAAAAACGTCTTCCCGTATCGTTCAGTTTGGGACTAAGTTCATGCTTGACTCATGTTAACCCTGTTGGTCAAATACTTCAGTGTTTCATAGTAACTTTAAGACACCTAAACCCTTATTATGTACTAATCCCTTGAAATTTTCCATTGGTTTAATTATTTTATTGTTTGGCTCAGGGACGCTAATCCATGCCCTAATAGAGCACCTTTACTCTTTTATACTCCTGGGGTTAAGACAGTCACTCTAAGTGTTAAAGTTTATCCCAACACGAGGAAACTGAGGCTGCGCTTAAGCTCCCACCGATGGCCAGGAACCTTAATTCTTGCTGTTACCACACAAAAGTGACCCATAAGATCTTCTTATAAAGTCTACCTAATCGATAGTAATATAGGTTTAAATACATCCGCAGTTTTCTGTAATCAATGCTCTCAAGAACCAGCTAATTGTTTTCATCTCTAGAACCTAGGCAAAACTAAATGTCACAAAAACGTTTGAGGCTTCGGCACAGATGGTGTTTGTCGAGAGAAAGAAGACATTCTTTTGCAATCCCTGTAAATCCCCGCCAAGTTCGTGGTTGACTCTTTGTAGTTGAATTCTACTAGAATACTGATGCAAACGCTGCAATCTGGTTGGCTGAGCCCTCGTACATTATCGGCCATGACATGTATTGTTAAGTGGCTGGAGGTCGTCTTAAACGTGGTAATCTTTTCTCATTTTTGCGAAAGTTTTAAAGGGGCATTTAGAAACACTACTGGACAATTCCTGGGAAGACTGAGAGAGTAAATTATATTTCCCGTTACTCGACTTAAAAAAAAATCGAAATTGTTGGCGAATCTGATAAGTTTCTGTACAATATTGGTTGTTTCAAATGGTAATTCAGTCCGAGCGCAATTTTGCCAAAGCGGGTAGTTTCGTACTACGTGGAGAAATAGTTGTAAATCGTTATTTGAAAGAAATTTAGTTAGAATCATACTAAAAAATTCAAAGTAGCCAAACTCCATTCCTCGTATAATTGAATAAAAAAAAGTCAAGGATATCCGTATTTTCAAAGCACCTAGGAGAATGGAATACTTTGGTTCGAAAAATCAGGTAATTTTTTGTAAAGGGAGCCAAAAGATCCTTCGAATAATTGTGAGATTCGCAAGAAAATCCATATAATAATAAATGATTAAATAAACAAAAATAGACATAGAGTAGGAAAAATTCGAACGTTAATTCAATATTCCTTCGTTGAAATCTTAAGCTTGCCGTCTAATTGCTAAAAGAAAACAACTGACATTATCAAATGCTTGTTCCAAAAATGTTTAATTAGTTGCGCAAGCCTTGTTAATTTACAGCACTTATGCAATAATCTGTCACCAGTTTCTTTAAGCTAGATACATTCAAGAACCCATATAAGCGAGATTTTTGTCCCTTTTTTTCGCTAACAAATGCGTGTAATTACAAGACGCTTGGCTTCCCGCTGACAATACACAGAAGTGATTAGAAAACATGTCAATGTTGTGTAAGAAAGCTTCCGACACCAACCCTGGAGTTCTATTTGCTCAACGCGTTTTCTTTGCTTAGCTAACTTACAAATTATCGGAAGGCGGATTTTGTCTCTAAGATGTTGCATTGGGGCTAATTTAAAAAAAATGCAACTATTGTGAATAATCCCAATTTTTACGCGAGAATAGCCGGGGTGTGTTGACATTTCAAAGACTTCAAACACTCCCACGTGGATATCTATNAGATTTAAAGAAAAGATAGTTGAGAAACTAATGACTACAACAAATTGAAGAGTTTTATAATTCGATTCAATCCTTAACCTAAAACTAAATTTCTAAAAACAATTTTGTTTATTTTGTGGAAATTTCACTCTTCTCTAAAACCAGTAACGGCTGATTTGAATAACAAAGAAAAAGGCTAGGAAAACGTCATGCAATAATGCAGGTAGATTATTTTTTCTAACACCTTTTATATTACCTGAAAGATCACCAAAATAAGTAATTTGACAGTGTCTGATTAAAAAACCCTGACTGGCTGGTTGAAGAGACAAGTCAGGTGCTTCCTTTCGAGAAAGATAAATTATCAAACCTTGTGTCCGCTTACCAATTCTTAAACACACAGACTAAACAAACAAACACACTTTCGGTCTCTATTTTCCCATGCAATGTAAAGTTTTGTAGATACCCTGTTATAACTTTGCCCAATCAAGACGGATTTCATGATACATTATTTTGAAAAAAAAAACGACAACAACATAAAACCTATTGTAAACAAATAACATAAAATAAAAACAAAACGAAGCAAATAAATAAATAACTACATACACACTCCTATAGTTATAACTTCCCGTAGCAAAAATGCTTGTAGCTTAAAAATTGCGCAGAATCTTACAATGATCTGTTTTTACGATTTTTTGCGACGTAGGTATGAATGTTATGTCTGCGGATGAGAGCTTAGTTTGCAATCATTCAAACGAAAGCTATCGAGCAGTGCTTTCATGTGGTACTGTTTATTACGCTGTACAAGGTGGTTCTAACTTTTAAGTCTGTGGATGAAACCCTAGTGAGGACCATTTAAATGAAAGCTATCGAGCAGTACCTTCATTTGGTAATGTTTATTACGCTGTACAAGGTGGTTCTAAATTTTAAGTCTGTGGATGAAACCCTAGTGTGTGACCATTTAAATGAAAGCTGTCGAGCAGTACTTTCATGTGGTACTGTTTGTTATGCTGTGGAAGATAGGTCTAAGTTAAAACTTTTTAAGTCTGTAGATGAAACCCTAGCGTGTGACCATTCAAAGGAAACTGAGCTATTGCACAGTACTTTCATATTCTGGAAGTCGGTTTTTGTCTGTACACGTAGGACGCATGTTGCAGGGACAGTACGTCAACTGCTGCACACAAAGCGGATTGAGGCATATAAACGTGTTATAGTGTACAGTTTAATTTGCAAGAACAGTACACACGACATTGAAAATTGAGGTCATTTTGTCCCTACGTCATGATCATGACGCACGGATTCAAATCTGCTGCATTTCGTGCAACCTGTCGTAGGGACAAAAGTCTGATCACGCAGCAGAACTTTTTCGTAAAAGCGGGCATGTCACGCGTGGCTCAAGACTGTCCCCGCCACATGCCTTCTAGAGTGAGCCGACCTTAAAGTCTCTGGACACACAGAGTATAAAGACGCTGAGCGTTCCGTGCACCGTATCAATGGCATCGTGCTCTTCCTTCTCTTCTTGGATATCCAGTCTTTAACCCAAACAACTCGATGCGAGTATCTTCTAACCTTTCTCCTCAAAGAGAAAAATAGCACACAGCTGCCGTTTATCCTTGTTGGCCGGCGCAGAATGTTGCAGAATGTGTTCAGGACTCAAACCAGACTCTCAAAGCCCTTTCCTTACATGTTTACGTTCTGTACATCCTCCGTGTTTTCACGTTTTGATTGCAGATTTCGCACTATACTTGTAGAAAATAGTGCCACTCTTTTGCTACTGGGGAATAGTCGTCTATGAACTAGTCACTCTAAGCTTAAAAGTGGAAGAAATACACGCAACTCTGTTTATTTCTTTCGGCATGCGTGGAACTGTTAGCTTGCTGCCCTTGTTACAAGTATTGTGTCTTTCCAATGTGAGACACACCTGTAAGAAATGTGACCAACAATCTGTTTTCCTAAATACTTAGAAAAGCTAATTTACTATCAAAATACTTGAAGGATGTGGTGGTCTTTCAAGGAATCAAATATAATTATCATATAAAGCAAATAACACATTTCCTAACCCTTATTGCACATGTTTACCTATTTATTAGACTTGAATCGGACTTTCTTACTTTGTTATCAACGTATAGATACTTTTAAGATAATAGTCAGCCCCCTGTTGCCTCGTGCTCAGAGGGCTACCCTGTTTAAATAAAAATGACTTTACGTGTTGGCGGCAAGGGGAGGGGGATCTGTACCATCGACAAGTCATTTTTTTTTCAATATGCTGGTAAGAAAATGCACAGAGACTGGACCCCACTCTATGGCATTAATGTCAATTTATGCGGGGAGCTACTGCATTTGCACATTTGCAACTATCAAGATTGAAACTCGCTACTTGGTAAGAATCCCTTCAACTATCCTTGAAAATCATGAAAATTACAGATGAATCGATTTAATTTGTTCTATTGTTCTAATTTGTTCAGTTATAACGCACTGGACTATGTCAAGGGTCAGTTTTCTATGAAACTTCGTTAAGGCGATTCCCTAGTAAAAGAACCCGCCATAGATTTCCGATGAAACTTGGCATGCTGTTGTCACAGGACAAGGAGATGATAAAAACGTAGTAAAAAGAGGGGGTCACGGTGCTTGTTTTCACGCCGCAATACTGACAAATACGATTATTTAAGTGACTTTTAGTAATCTCCGTGCGCAACAAATAAGCTCGACTATTTTTCAATGCAGCGTGTTATATCACACAGAGTTTGTCCTTCTCTGATTGTTTATTCATCTACGTCTCAGAAAAAATGTCTTCAAATACCCTGTATTTTTTTTATTCTTTAAAGGAAACATAATTTGAACATGCGCTGTTGAGACCGTTATGTCTCCCTCTGTAATATTTATTTCATTTGCCAAAAAAGTAGCCATAGATTTCTGCTATTTTTTTCTCAGTTATTGAGAATACTGTTCTCGTTGAAATTATGAAATGAAAAGTGGGGGTCACCGTGCTCGTTTAAGAGAAAAGGAGCATTTAGTTCACCATCGAGCTTAGTTTAAGGGAAATCTCTTACGTTTTGTACGCGCACGCGCTCATGTGCGCGCGCTAATAACGCGGAAAGCGTGCGCAGTAGAGATGCGCAATGCAATAATAAGGAATCACCTTAAGATAAACCTGCTTTCTCTTTACTTACGTGACTTTAGTTTCCATCGTTCAAATTTATTGTACCGTGGTCGCCAACAATGATATTCACAGTTCCACCTGTGGGGCTGACGGTGACGGATGAACCTACAAGTAAAGCAGGAAAATGATGCGGATAACGGGTTGTAGCCAAATGGTTAAAACACGTCAAGCACACACAGTCAACGAATGCTTTTGGAAACCTTTGTCACAGCAAGCGTGACGATATGAGGGATTAGGTTTGAAAGATGAACGAGTTTAATCGATTACATGTATTTTGCATTCTCCCAATTCGGCCCAAAAGATCTTATGCATACTTACGGGGGTCGCCCAAAATTCGTCATTTAAAGTGAGTATAATTTTCATCTTGCCGGACTGCTTTGGGAATTCCTTCATGATTGCACCGGCTTTCAGGGAGTGAAATTACATTTTCTGATGTCACCTAAGTCAGTGTTCGCAAAAACACACCTGCGCTTGTTGAAACGTTCACGTTGGCGTCACCATCAGACCTGACATCTCCATCGTTTGCATAGTCATTTAGCAGATAATGTAAAACGCTTTTACGCTGCTTCCTCTCGGCTACCTGAGTAGCTGTCTCATCATCCTTATGCAGGATAGAAAGCAAAAGCAACTGACTCAAAATGGCATATCTAGAGGCTGGGTTGAAATTGGTTTTCATTTCAACATAAGCACAAGCACAAGCAAAGGCACAACGATAGTGAGGACGCCCACAGCAGAAGCAAAAGGACAAGTACACGCCTGAGCATGCGCAAAGCACAAGCACAAGCATAAGCACAAGCATAAGCACAAGCATGATGCCAAGGTGTTTATGCTTGTGTTGTGCGCGTCCTAAATACAGTCTCCTCGTGCTTACACTTGTGTTGCGGACGTCCTCACTACCGTTATGCTTATGCAGGTGCTTATGTCGTTGTCAAAACCAGGCTTTAACGTCGGAAGTTAAAACGTCACAGCATTTTACAGGTTGTGTCAAACACTGTGTCACAGTGCATGTATTTTCTGCCATACCACAGCAGTTATTCTTTACTTCGGTGTTGTTTCATTTCGTCGAAGGATATGTTTACCGAAAACCAGTTTTCTTCTGGCAGCTTTAAGGAACAACAAATATTTAACAAATGTGACAGAAACAAGCTAGCTATTCAACGAGGTATTTCGGTTGAAAACATGAAACTGGATGTTGAGTACAAGGCAGAATTAGCCACGTTTAGTACAGTAAATTGTTACAAATATTGCCTCTCCACTTATCAAGAATACTGTATCGCTAGATTATTACAATGACAACGAGCCCTTACCCGGTTTCGTTTGTTGCGATCAGCTGGGCTGTAAGGATTATTTACCAGTTTCTTCACAGCCCTTAAATTTCCTTTCTCGGCTGCCAAATGAAGTGGCGTTAAATCAAACTGTAAAAGTAAGAAAGAGAAATGACATGATCAGGCATAGTGACCAAATATCTTATCAGTAGCAGATTAAAGTAGCAATCTCTAAACGGGCCAGTAGTGGGTCGAGAAAGAAAAAAAATTTTGAAAAAAACTGAAAAACTGATTTAAACCTTTTACTCTATTAATAAGAAAGTGAAAAAAACATACAGAGTCACTTAGATTTGTGTCTGCTCCATGTTTTAACAGCATTTCCATGAGTTCTTCATTGCCGTTTACATCCCACACCACAAAATGGAGGGGGGTTCTACCAGTCTATATGGAAACACAACACGTCAAATCAACTTTATTATTTTCCTTGTATACGTCCAGTTAAAATACAGACATAATGACCAACAACTAGAAAATAAAGAAAACAAATGTAAACAAATGAAGAAAGCAGATAAACGATTGAATTTGTTAGTAGTTTTATATTGAACCTAATTCATAAATTGTTAGCTTTTCAGGTATCACAAGGTTTTAGGCCGTAAATATTTCAGAGAACGCATTTTAAAGAAAGCAGTACATTGTACATTGTATTCTTATAAAAACTAACAGACTCTACTTCGTTGTTAGCGCTGAAACAACGCCTGTGTATGTGACAGCTGCAAAATAAACATATCAAAAGTCTTACTTTCTTGCCAGAAAGTTGCTTTAATGAAAGGGCAGTTTCCTACAAGATGGTAAGACTCCCTATTAAAACCTTGCTTCTGTTGAAGCTTCGTATACTTTTAAGACAGTAACTATTAAACAAGTCTGAAAGCAAGCCAAATATTGAAAGTGGGAATTTTCCCGAGAAAATTCTAAATCTAGAATAGGATCTGGGTAGAATAATCTTTCTACCAAGCTTCTTAAGTTTTAAGGTTCTGGATCACAGTACATATTTCCCAAATTTTTGAGTAAAGTATCTCACACTAAATGCATGCCTCGCTAAAATTATGTCCTGCTAAAATTATGTCTCGTCAAAAGTATATCAGACTATTAACGTGTAAACACCAAGACGACATTCTATTTTGTTAACCTTCGTGGGTGCATGAAAGTTACAAAACAGTATCATTTTCTTTCCAGAAATGTTTTATCTTTGAAGAAGACATTTTCCGAAAAGGAAGCCAAGAGTTTCATGTGAAAGTGACTCAGCACTGGAGGCCTCGAGTACTTCCGGGAGAAACGGATTAGTAATTATAAACACAAGAACAAGGGAATTTTCCCGGAAAACTGAAATGTTTGCACTGTGCACTTCACATATTAAAACAATACTTAAGGACTGCATCGGAGGGGAACTAAAAGCACCTGCGAAAAATCAACAAAAACAAGCAGCGTATATCTACTAAAACTGACTTTATTTCGGTTGCTAGTCCAGTAATTTGCCGACTGAATGGCCTTCGACTTGCATTGTTTTCAAAAATAAGCACAATTCTTGAATATATAATTGCTATTCATTTGCTCATACCAGTTTCACGTTCTCGCTCAGTATTCGTATTACTACAAGCAGAATATCGTTGTTATTTTCTGTATTCTCAGAAGCTATCATATTTTGTTTCGTATGATAGGAATACATGTTTGTCTGAATATAGATATGTAGTACTGATAGAAATACGTGATCGATAAGCGGTCATGTGTACTCGTCGCCAACATGTTCACTTCTAAGTTTTGACAATTTCAGGTATAACTCTAGACGTATTTGTGAAATTAAACCAATTTCCTCTTATACTGTAAACCAGAATAAACCTTTAATATTTTATTAAAGCTAAAGTAGAGTTAAATGCAGGCTTCACAATCTATTTTACAGCTTACCTTTCGACTGTCTGGTTCTCGGAAATTTGCTGGCGCGCCGAATTCGAGAAGCAACTTTATTTGTTCCTTGTCGAGCGGATCTCTTTTCAAAGCTGCCCAAAGCTCTTTGCCTATTGCATTTGTATCTTCGTCTTTCTCTCTGCTTGCCATTACAGGAAAATCATGGACATCACGGACTCAAGCACCATTCAAGTCCAAGTGTACTGACCGTCAACGCGAGGTCGATACGTGTTTCTAAGGAATGAAGAAGTGCTCTAAAGCGAGGCAGGTCACGTGAATGTAATAAATGTAACGCAATCATCGGTCACTCAAAACAAACAAACAAGCAAACATGAACAAGTGGAATCCCGTTGTAAAACTACAATATCGATAAATTTTTATACTCAAATAGGATAAAAAAAAGAAAGAAAAAAAAAAAAGAAAGAAAAGGAAAGCGCTGACCTGGACGCCTTGCTTCATTGTTATGTTTCTATTTTTGGGCTGGTCTGATCTTTCACAGATTCTACGTACACCGGCAGCGTTTTCGTTTGCGGCCTCGTGCATTTATTGACAAGTCTCGCCGACAAAAATTCAAGCAAAACAGGCTCTTGGCTGGGGAAGCAGAAAATAAATATAATTTTTGGTTCAGGACCAAAAAGAAGACGCGTTTCAATCTAAATAACTTGAAATTATCGACTATCAATGGAAAAGGAAACACTGAGCCTGTAACTGAAAATTTGCCAAATAAGAGTGACTGCATTTCTATATGGAATAATCACGTGTTGTAATTATAAAGTTTTCAACTTTAAGTCCAATTCAGTTTATTTGGAAAAGATTCGTAAAAAATTTAACGATGTTTGGAAAGAAATATTTTTGGAACCTTCAAAAAATTAAAAACAGCAATTCTCTTTGTGATGGATATCTGGAAATCCCGTGGTGTTGTGAGAAGGCTTTTCACGGTTACTGACGCCATCTTACTTGGGGGGCAAAAAATTACAGTAAATGTTTGGGAAAAGTTAAAAATTCGATGCCCAATAATTTGAGAGTAATTGACTTTCTGAAAATATTCTGACTTACAAGGAAACGATACCAAGCGAAAGGGTTTTGATCAAATTTCAAGAATATAGATTTCCTGTGAGGAAACATGATAACAATTTTTAAGGAAAATGTATGGAAAATTGAAAACGTTAATTGGGGCTTTTCTAGCGAGGATATTTCCCTCAAGTCTGATCAGAAAATTATTTTACCTGGCATCTTTAGTATTTAATTCATAAGTATTTCATAATTCGAATTTTCCATGAGTTGGTAGACATTAATTTCTCTACTTTTTCCATACATTTAATGTAATTTTGGCCGAGTTTGCCCCAAGCAAGATGGCGTCAGAAACCATGTATTAAATAGTTACAATGGACAATTCTTGTTCCAGCCTTGCCTTTCTGTTAATAATTGTAGCCCCAAAATAGCGAAAAAACATTTTTCTTATATAACAGGCCATTTCTTGGGAGGGGGTCTCTTTTTGATTATCATCTAAACTTTTATTATGCCCTGTGAATTAAACCATCTGTACGAGAAGTCTAAACAAAGTTTATTATCACAGTAACGCTAAAGCTAACNGGGCAAAAAATTACAGAAAATGTTTGGGAAAAGTTAAAAGTTCGATGCCCAATAATTTGAGAGTAATTGATGTTCTGAAAATATTATGTCTTACAAGGAAAAGATACCAAACAAAAGGCTTTTGATCAAACTTGAAGAACATAGATTTCCTGTGAGGAAAGGTGATAACAATTTTTAAGGAAAATGCATGGAAAATTGAAAACGTTAATTGGGGCTTTTCTAGCGAGGATATTTCCCTCAAGTTTGATCAGAAAATTATTTTACCTGGTATCTTTAGTTTTTAATTCATAAGTATTTCATAATTCGAATTTTCCACGAGTTGTTAGACATTAATTTCTCTACTTTTTCCATACATTTACTCTAATTTTGGCTGAGTTTGCCCCTAAGCAAGATGGCGTCAGAAACCGTGTATTAATTAGTTACAATGAACAGTTCTTGTTCCAGCCCTACCTTCCTGTTAATAATTGTAGCCCCAAAATAGCGAAGAAACATTTTTCTTATATAACAGGCTATTTCTTGGGAGGGGGTCTCTTTTTGATTATCATCTAAACTTTTATTATGCCCTGTGAATTAAACCATCTGTGCGAGAAGTCTAAACAAAGTTTATTATCACAGTAACGCTAAAGCTAACACACACATCCCATATTGTAATTCTGAAGTGCTGCGGAAAGAAAATTTAAAAGTGCCTATCAGCAGGCATTATGGTGAGAGCTTCGCGAAACTTATATTTCAATTATTCTCTGGTCATTTTTTTAAGTCTNCCAGTTCTTCACTGACAACTAAAACACTTACTCAAACTTTCATAACTGATAGCTGGCATCTGATACGACTGCCCTCAGTTCCAGTTTCACTTTGAACATAATGTTTATGGTATTTAGAGAGCAACACTTTCCAAGTCAAAGCCGCTCATTGATTTTCAGGCAAATTGATATTCCCTTTACATTTAAACAATTTTTTTCAACATAAAAATAGACCAATACCTGAGCAGAATAATTCTTCAGCCAGTGGCTGCTTTGAAATTATGAGAATTAGGACCTAAACATGATAAGACAAAATTAAAACATACCATGAACATTTTACAATATACATCGTAAGCGATGCAATTATTCGAGAGAGAAATAAAGAATAATTATGGCAACTTACCGTAATGACCAGGATAGAGATCACTAAACCTCCCAAAGTGTTCATATTATTATTGCGGTCAGAAAAATGTCCACTCTGGCAAGCGTTATTGATTGCAAAATGTTAAACTGTGTGTTCTAATAATCGTTTCATCTTAAGATTCAATTGACCAGACTATAGTCAAAACAAAACGAAAATTTCAGGTTGGAACTGAAATCTTTGAGAGTGGTCCGCGAGAAACAACAATATAAATTGGTTGATTTTCAAGGCACCTGCTCGGTAAAAGGCGCGAGTCAATTCATTATTCATGAATGAAGTAATAAGGGGCTTCACAGTGAAAGAGAGGTATGTTTGCTCATAACGGAATGCAAAGGACTGTGATTGGTTAACACAGTGGACAAACTATTAGAAACCACTGACGGCTTGTGTGTGTTATGTAAAGTCAATTATTAAAAGCGCAAACATCGTGTTTTCATAGCATGGCCACAAAATGAAAATTAGAAACTTGCATAAGAATAGCAACAGGGCACAGAAACGCAGCGACCCATTTCATTTCTGCGCGAGCTTGACAGTATTGAAAATTGCTACCCTGAGTGGATGGTGGGTATATTTAATCTCTGTCTTCGCAAAGAGATGATGTTATTAAATCAGCGTAGCCAAAATAAAAAAATCGATCGTACGAAGCACTGATTAAAAAAGACGTTTCCAAACCTAAAATATAAAGTAGATTTGGTATAATTATTCCAGAACAGATTTAAAGAAAAGATAGTTGAGAAACTAATGACTACAACAAATTTAAGAGTTTTATAATTCGATTCAATCCTTAACCTAAAACTAAATTTCTAAAAGCAATCTTGTTTATTTTCTGGAAATTTCACTCTTCTCTAAAACCAGCAACGGCTGATTTGAATAACAAAGAAAAAGGCTAGGAAAACGTCATGCAATAGTGCAGGTAGATTATTTTTTCTAACACCTTTTATATTACCTGAAAGATCACCAAAATAATTAATTTGACAGTGTCTGATTAAAAAACCCTGACTGGCGGGTTGAAGAGACAAGTCAGGTACTTCCTTTCGAGAATGATAAATTATCAAACCTTGTTTCCGCTTACCAATTCTTAAACACACAGACTAAACAAACAAACACACTTTCGGTTTTTGTTTTTAATTCCCATGCAGTGTAAAGTTTTGATGTAGATACCCTGTTATAGCATTGCCGAATAAAGGCGGGTTTCATGATACATTATTTTAAAAGAAAAAAAACAACAACAACAGCATAAACCTAAATAAATAAAATAAAATAAAAACAAAATGAGGCAAATAAATAAATAACTACTTACACAGTCCTAGAATTAACTTTCCGTGACAAAGACTGCTTTTAGAATAGCCCTTTTCACGGTAACCTTTGCTCATTTGCATTACAATAAAATCTAGCATGTATGTGAGGCAATTTCGGGCTATTTTATAGTTTTAGCCCGAAATTGCCTCGCATCCACGTTGGATTACATTGTAATGCAAATGAGAAAAATTATCCGTGAACAGGGCTATTGGTCAGAATTTTACAATGTTCTGTTTTTACGCTATTTTGAAACGCAGGTACGAATTTTATGTCTGTGACAAGAGCTTAGCGTGTAACCATTTAAACGAAAGCTACTGAGCAGTACTTTCATGTGGTATTGTTTTATTATGCTGTACAAGGTGGTTCTAGCTTTTAAGTCTGTTGATAAAACCCTAATGTGTGACCATTCAAACGAAAGCTACCGAGCATTACTTTCATGTAGTACTGTGGAATGTATTGTGGAAGATTTTATTATATTGTGGAAGATAGTTCTAGGTTAAAACTTTTTAAGTCTGTAGATGAAACCCTAGTGTGTGACCATTCAAAGGAAACTGAGCTATTGCACAGTACTTTCATATTCTGGAAGTCGGTTTTCGCCTGTATACATAGGACGCATGTTGTAGGGATAGTACGCCAGCTGGTGCACACAAAACGGATTGAGGCATATAAACGTGTTGTAGTGTACAGTTTAGTTTGCAAGACCAGTGCACACGATGCGACTTTGAAAATTGCGGTCATTTTGTCACTGCATCATGGATGCATCACGGATTTAAACCTACTGAGTTTCGTACAACCTGTCGTTGGGACAAAGGTTTGATCACGCAGCAGAACTTATTCTTTACAACGGCATGTCACACGAGGCCCGAAACTGCCCCCGCCACATGTCCCCTAGTGTATGCCTACAAAACCTCTGGACACAAAGAGAATAAAGACGCTGAGTGTTCCGTGCAATGTATATTAATGGCATGGTGTCTAGATGCACCACTAAAACCTTTCCTACTAGGTTTGGATATCCAGGCTTTATCCCAAACAACTTGATGCGAGTATCTTTAAACTTGCTCCTCAAAGAGAAAAAGTAGAAAACAGCCGTCATTTATGCTTGATAGCTGGCGCACATTGTTGCAGACTGTGTCCAGGACTTAAACCAGAACCCGGGTGAAGGAAACTCTGAATTAAAAGCTCCTCCCCTTAACGTTTACGTTCTATCCATCGTCCAAGCCTTTCACGTTTTCATTGCAGATTTGCTACTATACTTTTGCTACTGGGAAAGACTCGTCTATGTACTAGGACACTCTATAGTCCTAAAGGCAAAAGAACTGAATGCTCGTGACTCATCGTTCATTTCTTCCGGCAGGCATGAAGCTGTTAGATTGCTACCCTCGTTACAAGTATTGTGTCTTTCCAAAGTGGGACACACCTGCAAGAAATGCGACAAAAATCTGTTTTCCTACGTTCTTAGAAGGATGCGGTGGTCCTTCAAGGAATCAAATAAATTACGTAAATAAAATCATCGATTTACACGTTTTTTTTTTGTTGAAAATGAAAGGTTTTTTAAGGGAGGTGATGGTGGGGAACGTCAAGGGGCGGCCCTGTACAATCAACGAGTCCCTTTTTCAACATCTTGCTACTCTAAAGTCTTAATATTAATTTACGTGTAGGGAATCCTTGAAACTCGCTCGGTGAGAATCCCTTAAACTATGCTTGAAAATTATAAAGAAGATTCACCAGTGAATCGAGTTAATTTGGTCTATCAACGAGCCGGACTATGTCCCAAATTAGCTCTCTATGTACCTTCATTAAGGTAGAACTGCTTTTCCCTTTACTTACGTGACTCTAGTTTCCATTCATTTGTTAACATTCATTGTACTGCTGTCGCCCACCATGATGTGCACAGTTCCACCCGGGGAGTTGACGGTGACAGATGAACCTGCAAGAAAGTCAATGCATAAACATAAAACCGGGTAAGGGGTTGTATATTATTTTTACTTTGTTATTTTGTTTTCTTGGCGTACCCGTTAACTGGCTGGTGCGTCCTGTAGACTCTGCTTATCTTAGTCTATGGGACACACCGTTACCATAGCTAAGTGTGCGACCAAGTAAAATAAACTGTCTATGTTTATGTCTATGTCTATGCCGAAGATTCAGGTTAAGCCATGTTAACATGAAATTCTTATTAGCCTCAACCACCCTCATGCTGTTTAAGATGATTATAATTTCCATCTTGGCTGCTTTGAGAATTCGTTTATGACTGCACCTCCAAAGCGAGGCTTGGGAGTGAAATTCCCTTGTCTGATGTTACCAAAGTGTTTGCAAAAACATACCTGTACTTGATGAAACGTTCACGACATCACCATCAGAGCTGACATCTACTTCGTATGCATCATCATTCAAGAGGTACTTCAAAACATTTTCTTGTTGCTTGCTCTCAGCTACTTGAGCAGGTATTTCATCACTCTTGTCGTTCAGCAGGATGGGAAAGCAAAGACAAATGACTCAATTAAAATAGCATATCGAGAAGCCGGGTTCATCAACTTCCGATGTTAAAACATCACTGTATTTTACAGGTTATGCCAAACACTGTCACACTGTTTCTTGCCATACCAGAGCAATCATTCTGTACTTCGGTGTGGCTTGATTTCGTCGTAGGCTATGTTTACCAGAAATCCGTTTTCTTCTGACAGCTCTTAGAAGCAACAGCTAGAGCCTGCGCCAGATAATTTTTGACGAATATACATGAAAGAAAAAAGTTATAGATATTCAACGAGATATTTCTGTCGAAAAACGTAAAATTGGATGTTGAGTTCAAGGCAGAATTGGCCACGTTTAGTACAGTAAATTGTTACCAATATTTTTTTTCCACTTACCAAGAATACTGTATCACTAGATTAATACAATGAGCGAGCCCTTACTCGGTTTCGTTTGTTGCGATCAGCTGGACTGTAAGGATTCTCAACGAGTTTCTTCACAGCCCTTAAATTTCCTTTCTCGGCTGCCAGATGAAGTGGCGTTAAAGCAAACTGTAAAAGTAAGAAAGAGAAATGACATGATCAGGTATAGTGCCAGTAATGAGTCGAGGAAGAACAATTATTGAATAATTTAAGTAATTAAAACTGAGTTAAACTTTTTACTTTATTACTAAGAAAGTGAAAGAAACATACAGAGTCACTTAGATTTGTGTCTGCTCCATGCTTCAACAGCATTTCCATGAGTTCTTCATCGCCATTTACATCCGACACTACGAAATGGAGGGGGGTTCTACCAGTCTATATGGAAACACAACACGTCAAATCAACTTTGTTATTTTCCCTGTATAGGTCCAGTTAAAATGCAGACATAAAAACCAACAACTAGAAAGTGAAGAAAACAAATGTAAACAAATGAAGAAAGCTGGTAAACGGCCGGGTTGAATTTGTTAATAGTTTTACATTGAAGTTAAGTTATAAATTGTTAGGTTTTCAGGTATCACACGTTTTTAGACCGTAAATATTTCAGAGAATGAATTTTAAAGAAAAGTGTGTCCCATTGTAGCAGTACATTGTATTCCTATTAAAACTAACAGACTCTACTTCCTTGTTATCGTTAAAACAACCCCTGTGTATGTGACAGCTGCAACATAAGCGTATCAAAATAGTCTCATTTTCTTGCCAGAAATGTTGCATTAATGAAAAGGCAGTTTCCTACAAGATGGTAAGACTCTTTACCAAAGCCTCGCTTCTGCTGAAGCTTCGTATACTTTTAAGACAGTTACTATTAAACAAGTCTGACAGCAAGTCAAATATTGAAAGTGGGAATTTTCCCGAAAAAATTCTACATCCAGAATACGATCTGGATAGAATAAGCTTTCTGCCATGCAAGTTTCTTCAGTTTTAAGGGTCTTTTAAGGCTCT